AAGCCATTATATTGTTTGAAGGTGTCATACGCCGTACATAACGAAAATGGATTTTATTCAACAATGATAGTTGGGAATGAAGTTAATTTATTAAATATGTAATCGTATTTGGTTGATTGCTCTTATTGCTTATAATTAGACTTCAATCTATAAACAGACGTAACAATTATCAATTATTAAATATAATTGTGTCGCTATTAGAAAACTTTCTTTTCTCTCATCTTAGATCCAGTATAACCGAAAATTGTAAATAAAAAATAATAATAAAAATAATAAAAACAATTATTTGTTTTTATTATAAATATTTCATTTTTTTCATATATATTATATATATTTTTATATATTTTTATATATATTTGTTGTTATATAATTAAATAAAAATATATAAAAATATATTATATATATATATATATATATATATATATATATATATATAATATATAAAAAAACATGAAATATTTATAATAAAAACAAATAACTGTTTTTATTATTATTATTATTTTTTTTTATTTACAATTTTCGGTGATACTGGACCCATTTAAGTAATAAATAAAATAAATTATTAATTTTGTTATTAATATTGTCATTGATATTGATATTATTATTATCATTATTATTAGTACCATAGTAAATAAAAATATTATATGAAAAAAATGACAACAAAAAGAGTATACTAATGCTTTCTTTTTTTTATATTATTATTTTTTATTATTATTGTTACTTTCTGATTTTTTCTCTCACTTGTCGTCATTGCTTTTAATTTAATGAAAAAAACAACATATTTCTCATTTTATAATTTTTTTTCATATTATTTTATATATTTTTCTCCATTATTTTACTTTCCATTTTTATTATCTTTTTGAAAATTATTTTTTTCACTTTATTACTTTTTCTCCATTTTTTTTCTTCATTTTTATTCTTCTTCACATCTAGTTCTTAATTTATTTTTCTTGTACCTTTAATTTTACTTGTCTGTAATGTGTTTTAAAAAAGTAATTTGCTTTTTATGTTCTTTTTATGATTATTTTTTTTGAATAATTTTTTTACGACTCTATAACTATTTAAGAAAAATAACAAATTAATTAATTAACCCTTTTTTTATTAATGATTTTGTAGTTCTTTTTACTTTTTTTAGTATCTTTTATTATTTCTATTCTTTGATATTTTGTTCGCATTTTTTCAGTTGTTTATATTTTTTTGTAGTTTTTTACATAGTTTTCATTTTTTTTTAGTTTTGTATAGTTTTTTGTAGTTTTTCTCAGTCTATTTTATTTTTTTGAGATCTTTTTAAATTTTCCTGTTTAGGGGTATCCCTGTTTTGTATAGTTTTCCTGTGGTTTTTTTTATTATTATTTCCTTTTTGGACTTTTTTGTGGATTTTTAGTATTTTTTATAGTTTCTTTTAAATGTTTCATTCTTATTTCCTCTGTTTGGACTTTTTTTTTCTTTTTTGTAGTCGTTTAGTAGTTTTTTTTAAAACTGTTTTTAGTCTTTTTAAAATGTTTTCGGGTGCTTAAAATCGTTGTAGTTTTTTTATTCTTTTTGTAGTTTTTTATTCTTTTTGTAATTTTTTATTCTTTTTGTAGTTTTTATTCTTTTTGTAGTTTTTTAATGTTTTCCTTATTTTTTTTAGTTTTATTAAGTTTTTGTAGTTTTTCTCGGTCCTTTTTTTATTTCTTGGAGTTTTTTTTAAATATTTGTATAGTTTTTTATTTTTAATTTCTTTTTGGACTTTTTTTTCATTTTTGCAGTTTTTTATGACTTTTCTCTAAAGTTTTATTGTTATTTTTCTTTTTGGACTTTTTTTCTCTTTTCAGTCGTTTAGTAGTTTTCTGTGGCTTTTTTCAATTTTTTAAAAATTATTTTAGGTTCTTTTACATTTTTGTATTTTTGTAATAGTTTTTTACAGTTTCTTACAGTCCTCTTCAATTTTTTTTTTTTTTTGTAACTTTTTCTATTGTTTACTTTTTTTGGGTTCTTTAAATTTTGGTAGTTTTTAATAGTTTTTTTTTGTATTTTGATTACTGTTTTTCTTATTTTTTTAGTTTTATTAAATTTTTTGTAGTTTTTCTCAGTCTTTTATATTTTTTTTAATTTATTAAAATTTTTTTTAATTTAATAAAATTTTTTTTAATTTATTAAAATTCTTTTTAAATTAAAAAAAAAAAAATTTTATGTTTATTTTTTGGAGTTTTCTTTTTACGTTTTCCTGTTTTGTATAGTTTTCTTGTAGTTTCTTTATTTTTATTTCTTTTTTTGGACTTTTTCTTTTTTGCAGTCGTTTAGTAGTTTTTTGTAGCTTTTTCAATCTTTTTAAAAATTTTTGGGTCCTTTTACATTTTTGTATTTTTTAAATAGTTATTTACAAGTTTCTTACAGTCTTTTTCATTTTCTTATATGTAGTCTTTTGTAGCTTCCTGCAGCTTTTTGTACTATTCCATTGTTTTGATTGTTTTAAATATTTGCACTTTTTTAATAGATTTTTTCCCAGATTTTTCAGCAATTTTTTAAAACTTTTTTTATGTCTTTATATTTTTGCAGTTTTTAAATAGATTTTTGCAGCCTCTTTTATTTTTTTTATTTTTGAAGTTTTTTTTTCATTTTTTTGCAGTTTTTCTAAAAAAGTCTTTCTGTAGTTTTTTTAAGACTAAATTAATTAATTAATTACTTAATTTCTTTAATTCTTTCTAGACTTTTTTTTAATAATTTTTTTAAAATTTTAACTATTCTTAAGAATGAAGAAAATGTATGTCTGTGTTTTCCCTTTAATTTCTCGATCTCTTTTTAAAAAATTCTCTCTGTGTGCATTATATGTGAAATTTTTATCTCTTATTTTTAAATTAACATTACTTTTTTCCTTTTATCCGTGCACATACATACGTTGTATATAAAATTCTCTGTCTTTCTTTCATTTTTTTTAAATTAAAAAGAAGTTCTTTCCATCAAATAAATTCCTATCCTTTCTGTTAAATGTTTATTATATATTTATGTCTTTTCAATTTTCCATAGACATACTTTTCAAATATTTGTTTCACTTTTGTATTCTCTCCAATTCTCTCATCTGTATACAAAGATTTTAAAATATTTTCTTTATAATTTCTCTCTCTCTCTCTCTCTCTCTCTCTCTCTCTCTCTCTCTCTCTCTCTCTCTCTCTTAAACTTTGATTGCTATCTTTTCAAAATTTACGATGCAAAATTATCTCCAAGAAAGTGAAATATTTTTATTTTCTCAATTTACTTTTATTTAGTTAATTATTTTGTTTATTTAATTTAATTTTCTCTTTTATTAATTTTTACATATTATTTATTTTCTATTTATTCTTATTTTATTTATTTGATTAATTTCATAAATTATTTTTAATTCATTTTTAATTTATTCTTATAAAATAATTTTATATTTTTTCTACAAAATTAGTATTTTTTCATACTTTTATTTTTTCTACTTATTTTATATAAATAATTTATTTTCCTAATTTATTTTTTTCATTATTATTTATATTATTATAATTTCTATTTATATTGTATGTACGTTGGTCGGGCTTGCTAAGGCACCTCGACTGTTTAATTGCTTCAGTTCAAGGGACGTGCGTTCGAATCCCCCTATAGACAAATTAATTTCTATAGAAATTAATTAAATAATTTAAAATTAATTAATAAGATAAATATATTTCTTATTATCTTATCTCATTAATTAATTTTCATTTATTGAATTAATTAATTTTTACTTTATTATTTTATTTCAATACTTTAATGTTAAATTTATTCAAAAACCAAACTTTTAACGTTTTAATTAATTTTTAAAAATTTATACCGATTTTCTATAAATTTCTATATATATACTACAATTTCCAATAATTTTTTTATTTCCCTTTCTTTGAATGTTTGTCGGAAAATAGAATTGAGAGAGATAAAGCGTTATGAGAAGATATATTAGATATGCGCTGAGTAATTTAAAAGAGAAAAAAAGAGAACCACGGAATATGAGATTAAAGGAAAAAGGAGAGCTGCAGTATGCGAAGAATACTTGCACATGAGGCCAAGGACGAGTAGTAGTCGAAGAAAGAAAATAGCAGTGAGTGTAAAGAGTACTGAAGTACCTCTCATGCTCAATATAACTATCTTTCCTTCCTCTTTTGAAAATAAGAAGTACGGCATTTTTTTTTCATTTTTTTTCTTGTCTTTACACAAACAATACATATTTTAAATTCCAAAGTTGTTTTTTGAAAAAAAAAGAAGAATTATTCTAAACTAAACAGTTTTTTTTCACACGACTTTAATTCTATTATATTATCATTTCTTTTGGAATTTTTCTTTTTTTATTTTACAATTTTTCAATTTCTAAAATGCATAATTAAAAGAAATTCACCTACATTGAGAGAGAAATATTTAAATATACCGAAAATAAAAATTTACCTGAGAATTTGGGCCCTTGCTAGATACGGTCCTGTCTTATGCTCGTCTGATTGGTTACCGTTCCCCCCACCTTGAGGAGCAGCCAATAGAAAGTCACCTGAAACTCATATCGCCGATTTTTCGTTTCCGAAGCTTAAAAATAATTCTTTACACTTTCCACAAATATTTTCTTTTATAATCGAAAACAAAAAAAATTATAATATAATTGATAAATAATTATTAATATAATAAGAATATTCGAATATAATAATCAATAAAAGTAAATTACATAAAAATTAATTTTATTAATAATATTGACTGTTAACAATTGTGATAATGACTTGTCCCGTTCATAAATAAATACATAAAAAAAATTATTAATAATTATTTTTTGTTATATGAAGAATTAATTAATTGAAGATTAAGATTAATTAATTGATTCAATAATAAAATTTAATATCAAAAATAAAATTTAAAATAAAATTTTTTCTTAAATAATAATGAAATACCAGTTTTGCGTTATTAAATAATTAAATATATTTATCAGACATGAATAAAAAATTTTTTTAATAGGAGAATTATGAGCAATAATTTTTTTTCGTTTTTTTTCATTTATTTTAATAATGTTTGTGTGTTGGTTGTGTATAATATTATTGTAAATTGTATAATAATTGTAATAATAATAATAGTAACAGTAGTAATAAGTAGTAATAGCGAGACGCGCGTATTATTTCAACAGAAAAAAAATCTTCAGTTGCTTGATTTTAATTAATTGCAACATTATTTTTTTTTATTATTTTCACGAAAAAAAGAAGAAAAATTTCATGTGTGAACATTTTTTTTTAAAGGCGTCATTTTTTACTCGCACGCAAAGAAAGAAGAGAAGAAAATACGAGTGTTGGTGCGTTTGTGAGAAAATAATTTTTTTTTGGTCGCGAATGATGAGAGAGAGAAAAAAAAATTGTGATTGAGTGATGGTAATTTTTTTTTATTCTTCCTCCTCCTCTTCTTCTTCTTCCTCTTCTTCTTCTTCTTCCTCCTCTTCTTCTTCTTCCTCCTCCTCTTCTTCTTCCTCTTCCTCTTCTGCCTCACCCTCCTCTGCCTCTTCTTCCTCTTCTTCTTCGTCGAATTGCGGTTCCTCAAGATCGACGTCACCCGATGCCTTCACGTCTTCCTCGCCTTCCGGTGATTCGGGATCGCCAGTTTTCTTTCCTGGCCTCTCGCCAAACCATTTTGGTAGCTTCGCTGTTTAGTGGAAAAACAAAATTTTTCATTAATTAATTTTTTTTGTTTTCTTTTTTTTTGTAAATTCAAGAGTGGATATTGATTTTTTTCGAAACTAATTTACAATTAATCCGATTGATTCTAATTCGAAATAATTAGGTTCAATTCGAATTCCTTTTAAATCTCTCTAATTCGAATCAGTTTTAATTTTGTCTAATTCGAATTCGTTTTAATTTTATCTATATCTAATTCAATTTAATTCTGTCTAATTCGAATTCGTTTTAATTTTGTCTATTTCTCATTCACTTTAATTCTGTCTAATTCGAAATCGTTTTAATTTTATCTATTTCTAATTCAATTTAATTCTGACTAATTCGAATTCGTTTTAATTTTGTCTATTTCTAATTCAATTTAATTTTGTCTAATTCGAATTTATTTCCTCTAAATAAAATTTAATTCAAATTAATACTCTCTAATTCGAATGATTTTTGCCTAATTCTAAATATCTATATATTAATTAATTAGATTAATTTTAATTCGAAATAATAAAACATAATTGGAATTCGTTACAATTCTGCTGCATTCGAATTCACTACGAGTATGTTAAAATTCTACCACATCCGAATTTATTCGGTCTAATTCTAATTAATTTCTAACTAATTCAAATTTATTCCAATTCCTATAAATGAATTGAATCAATTCAATTTTTTCAAATTCGAAACAACACAATTCGTTTCGAATTGGTTATAATTTTATTGCATTAGAATTAATTCTATCGAATTGAAATTAATTCTATCTAATTCGAATTTATTCCAATTCCTAATAATTGTATTTAATTTCTATTTAATTCTAATTCAAAATAATTGAATTCAGTTTGGAATTAATTCTATTTAATTCTAATTAAAAGTAATTGTAGTTATTTCGAATATATTTCAATACGAATTTATTCCAATTCCTAAGGAAAAATAATAATAGTATTCTTATTTGAAATAATTAAATTAAGTTCAAATTAAATTCTATTTAACTTGTATTCAAATTGTAACTAAAATGAATTTTATCTAATTCCAATTCTTTCTAATTCGAAAAAATTGATGAAATAAATAAACGAAAGTTAACAAAAATAATTGGCTAAAATAAATGCTTAAAATTTAATTAACTAATTCTACCTCAAATTAATTGTATTAATTCATTTTATCCATTTCGAATTAATTCCACTAAAATTTTAATTTACTCGTAATTTATAAATATTCACGATAATTAGAATTAACTTTGAGAAATTCAAAAATTAATTCTATTCAATTCTAATTCGATTTTATTATAATTCTTAATAATTATGAATAATTCGAATTTATTCTGCTTCATTCAAATTCATTTACATTTAATTCTAATATAATTTTATCAAATTCGTAATAATTATATTCAATTCGAATTTAAAATACCTAATTCGTAATAATTCTACTTAATTCGAATTCTTTTCAACTAATTCGTATTAATTCTGTCTAAATAGATTAATCTCGTAATAATTTCAATTAATTCTTTCTAATTTGTTATAATACCATCTATAAATCGAATTAATTCTTTTTAATTCGTAATAATCTAAATAAATTTTTTTCTAATTCGTAATAACTCGTATCGAAATCGAATCAATTTGTAATAATTATATTCAATTCAAATTTAAAATACCTAATTCGTAATAATTCTACTTAATTCTAATTCTTTTTAACTAATTCGTATTAATTCTGTCTAAATAGATTAATCTCGTAATAATTTTAATTAATTCTTTCTAATTTGTTATAATACCATCTATAAATCGAATTAATTCGTAATAATTTGAATTTATTCTTTTTAATTCGTAACAATTTGAATTAATTCTTTTTAATTCGTAATAATCTAAATAAATGTTTTCTAATTCGTAATAACTCGTATCGAAATCGAATCAATTTGTAATAATTATATTCAATTCAAATTAAAAATACCTAATTCGTAATAATTCTACTTAATTCGAATTCTTTTTAACTAATTCGTATTAATTCTGTCGAAATAGATTTATTTCGTAATAATTTCAATTAATTCTTTCTAATTTGGTATAATATCATCTATAAATCGAATTAATTCGTAATGATTCTATGTCTAAATCGAATTAATTCGTAATGATTCTATGTCTAAATCGAATTAATTCGTAATAATTTGAATTTATTCTTTTTAATTCGTAACAATTTGAATTAATTCTTTTTAATTCGTAATAATCTAAATAAATGTTTTCTAATTCGTAATAACTCGTATCGAAATCGAATCAATTTGTAATAATTATATTCAATTCAAATTAAAAATACCTAATTCGTAATAATTCTACTTAATTCGAATTCTTTTTAACTAATTCGTATTAATTCTGTCGAAATAGATTTATTTCGTAATAATTTCAATTAATTCTTTCTAATTTGGTATAATATCATCTATAAATCGAATTAATTCGTAATGATTCTATGTCTAAATCGAATTAATTCGTAATAATTTAAATTTTGTAATAATCTGAATTAATTCTTTTTAATTCGTAATAATATGAATTAATTTTTTTCTAATTCGTAATAACTCGTATCGAAATCGAATCAATTCGTAAGAATTCTTACTAAATCGAATCAATTCGCAATAATTCCATCTAAATCGAAATAATTCTTTTCAATTCGAACAAATACTTTCTAATTCGTAACAATTCTGTATCAAAATCATATACGAATCCTTTTGAATTCAATATAATTCTCACTAATTCCTATAAAATTCTATTCAATTTTTTTTTATTAATCCCATTCAAAAATGAATTAATTAATTCTAAATTTGAACAAATTCTTTCGAATTACAAATCAATTTTTTATTAATTTTTAAATTAGCATTCATTCACATTTTACATCCTCAATAATTTGGAAACTTCTTATCCGACTAGTGGATTAATATTAAAAGGATCTGAATTGTTAAACAATTAATTAAATAATTAAAGCCACACATTTTTGTTTAGTAATTTCCTTAAGGATTTAGGGGGTGGGGGTGGTTTGTTTAATTTGAAGAAAAAATTTAATAAAAAATAATAAAACAACCTGGCCAACTGAAGATGGGAGGGCCATTTTTAAATACGTACTCTTTTGACGACCAAGGAACTGCTCTTTCTGAAGGTTCCATTGTTTTTCCATGGTGTCCTTGATCTGATCGGTGAGACCCTGAAACACCAAAGGAAAGCATGCTAGGATTCTCACTCAGGGTTCGTCGCCTGGTTCATTTTTCGGATTTTTTTTCTGTTTTTTTTTTTTCATTTGCTCTCTTTTTCTTTTTATTTTGAATTTTTTCACTATCAGTTGTTGTTCATTAAGAGCATTTTTCTTGTATCTTTTATTTACACATGCTGATTGGTGAGGGGGAGAGAGGGGGGGGGGGTATTTTAACAACGGCACCAAATAGACATCAAGTGGGTGAACCGTTTTTGTTTTTAATTGTTATAAACAAATTGTAGACATATATATGTACATGGGGGACAAAAATAGTTACTTTCAGGGAAAGAAGGATTTTTTCCCTTTAACATAAATTTACACCAATAAAAAGAATATTTACACCAATTGTTTTTTATTCACCTTTTGGAGATTGTGATTTATTTTATCAACAATAGAGGATTAAGATGATTCTATTTGAAAGTGGAATTAAAAACAAAAGATATTTATAATAATTTGTAATTGTAAAATTTCAAATGTAGAATTGTAAAATTTATATTTTATTAAGTAAATTGAAATTAAATATAAATTCTGAATAGAGTTTTAAATTTGTTTCGTTAGCTGGTTCGAAGAAAAAGGCAGTGGGCGTGGCCTTGACTAGGAGTGGGGGCAACGAGAGTGAGTGAGAGCGGACGGAACTTCTCTCTCACTCTCATTGCGCCCCCCACTTTGCCTCAAGGTCACGCCTTTGTATTTCCTTTCGTTCCAAACTCTTCTCTAATAATTATGAAAATTGCAAAAACAATTCTAATTCTAAGTTATAATAAATAAATAAATAACAATAAATTCTAATCAGAATTTAAAATAATGAAATTGATAACTAGAATTTAAAAAATTTTTTGAAATTTTTAATATTAGAAATTTAAATCCATAGTCTGGAATATTGAAGACATTTGGAAAAATGAAGAAAATTGACAACAAAAAAATGGAATTAATAAGTACAGAGAGAAAAAATCGAGGGTCGTAAACAAGACAACAGCAGGCAGAGGGATTTTTTTTTTCTTTGAAATAACGGAGCGACTCACTTTTGGTGCGTTTCATAAATTGCTCTGTTTTCTGTTTCCACAATTTCTCGTTGATCTCCGCGAGAAGAGTGTCATATCCCTGTCATCATCATTTTTGTTCATTTTAAAAGAAAAAAAAAATATTTTTAACTCAATTTTTGATGAATTTTTTTTTTTTAATTTCTTTTTTTTTCTTCCTCTTTTATATATTTAAATCCGTAAATTTTGAAAGAAAATTTTTCTTTTGTTTTTCAATACTTACACCCTCGAAGAGTTTCTTTTTGTCGTCATAGGACCTGGTGTCTACACGACGCTCATACTTGGAGGCGACTTGAATTTTAGGCTGTTGAAATAAAGAAAGAAATTTAAATTTTGATACTTTTTTAATTATTCGATTTTTTGGAATTTGAAATAAAAAAATATTTCTTATTGTTAATAAATAGGTGAAGAAATATTTACTGCTGTAAATAAAGAAAACATTTACTGCTGTAAATAAAAAAAAATATTTACAACTGCAAATAAATAAAAAAAATATTTACAACTGCAAATGAATAAAAAAAAATATTTACTGCTGTAAATAAGTAAAATAAAAATATTCAATGCTGTAAATAAATTTAAAAACAATACTAACTGGGTATTTTCCGGTGAGAGCTTCTGGGTCCAGTCCCTTTTTAAGGGCCTTGTGTCTAAGTTGTTGCTTCTGTCTTTCCTTTAATTCTTTAAGCTGTAAAAAAAATTAACTTAAATTAAACAAAAATTAAATTAAGTTAAATTAAATTAATTTAAAACTAGTTTAAAAAATAAATTGAAAAATTTATAATAATAGCATTATAATTTAAGTAAATGAATGCAATTCATTAAAATTTAAATAGTCTTTTATATACGCCGCTCGTTGCGCACGCGCCAATTCCAAGAAAAAGGCACTGGGCGCGACCTTGAGTAGGAGTGGGGGCAATGAGAGTGAGCGAGAGCGGACGGAACTTCTCTGTCGCTCTTATTGCCCCCACTCCGCGAGTCAAGGCCACGCTTTCTTCCTTTCATTTCGAACAAATAATTCTAACGCAAAAACTATTTTCGACTTTCTAAAATAGCAAAAACTATTGTAATTCCTACAGTTCCAAATAATTAAAAAATTATTTTTTTTTTTCATTTATTAATGTTAATCGAAATAATTTTTTTTATGTAATTAAATAGTATAGAGATTAGTTCAGGTCTGAGTGATTAAAAGTAATTAAAAAAAAGAGTACAACTCACATCGTAGTCTTGACGTTTTTGACGCTCCTCAAGATCGTATTTTTCAGTCTCGAGCTTGACAATCTGGTCCCAAAGATCCTGGGCCTTATTTCTTAATTTGTCAATTCCCAGACCATCGATTTCCAATGCTTTAATACGAATGCTCAAGGAAATTTTCTTTTCCTCTTCCAATTGTTCTTTCGTTTTGTTGCGCTCCAATTGTGCCGACGACATGTTTCCCTTTATTAAAAAAATTTTCAATTATAAATAAAATTTATTATTATTTATAATAATTTTCATTTTAAATTAATTTCTTTTTGAATAATTTCTATATATTATTTTGGAAAAAGAAAACTCACAGCTATACTACTCTTGGTGATGGTGAAGTTGGGACCTTTCTTGCTCGCCTGATCCTTCATTGCTTGCATCATTGCTTGACGCTTCTTCTCAGATTCTTCTAAACGTCTGAAAATTAAAAACAATGTTTCTTAATAAAAAATATTATTTAATTAATTATTATTTAATTAATTATTTAATTAATTATTATTTAATTAATTATTTAACTAATTATTCAATTATTTAATTAATTATTCAATTAATTATTCAATTATTTAATTAATTATTCAATTAATTATTATTAATCATTAGTTAATTATGATTAATTAGTAATTAACTATTGAAAGTTCCTTTATTTATTGAAATTAATTTTAATTATTGAAATTTAAGTTTAATTATTATTTTAACTTTTTTAATTATTATTAATTATTTTTTAACATGAAAATTATTTTAAAATAATTTTTTGAAATTATTTTTACCTTCTCTTTTCTTCCATATCTCGTTGTTTCTTCTCCTCTGAAAAAAAATAATTGATCGTTAATTTATTGGCAAATAAATTAGAGAATTAACAAAATAACGTTAAATAATTTTCGATTATCGGTAAAATTAATTAATTAAAAATAAAAATACCAATTTCACGTTGACGACGTTCTTCCTCTTCTTTTTTCTTTTGAGCCAATTTCTTCTCTTCTTCGGCGCGAGTCACCTTGCGCTTCGCTTGTTTCTCCTGAAGGTGACAAAATTTTTGTATTTTTATAAATATTCATTATATTGGAATTAATTAATTTAATTATTATAGTAATTTATTACAATTTTTTTTTTCATTTTTTTTATTATTTTCATTAATAAATTATAATTTTTTTTTCATTTTATTTTCAAGATTACCTTCAGCCGTTTGAGCTCCTCTTCCTCCTTGGCTCTCTGCTTTCTCCATTCCGAAATGTATTCCTTGAGCTGTTCATCGAGGTCACTTCTCTTCTGTTCTTGTCTCTATAAAAAAAAATTTTAATCAAATATTATATTTTTCAATAAATGGCCAAAAAATTTTTAATCAAAAATTAAAGTTTTCAATGAATGGCAAAAAAAAAAAATTTATCAGAAATAAAATTTTTTAAAAAATGACCAAAAAATGTATGAAAAATTAAATTATTTAATAAATAACAACAATTATTTATTAATTAGTAAATTTATATTTCTTTATATTTTATTTATTATCAATTTTTATTTAAATTTTGTTTTTCATGATCTATTTAAAAATTGTTATTAAAATTAAGATAATATTTATATTTAGTTGAAAATTAATTAATTTTTACCTTCATAAACTCGACTCCTTCACCGGACTCCCTGTGAATTGCAGGAACGAAAACAAAAGTAGTCGTTTAGTTCCACTTGTCGATACCTTGAAGACTCTTTATAATTTCTTGCCAAAATTAATATCCAAAATTTTGGTCATCCATTATTATCCCCCCCTCCCCTCAAGAAAACCCTCCCTTTTTTTTTGTCAAAAATATATAATTTTTTTTTTTGCTCTTCCCTCGCATAAACAAGCAAATCGACACATATAAACAAGCAAGCACTCAAACATTAAAAAAAATAATTTATTTCAAACATTCAAGGCATTTTTTTTTAAAATTAGATTGCTTTGTGGCAATAATGATAATAGGCGTGCTGAGAAAATTTTTAGAGAAGGGAGACATTTTTTCTGTAGGAAGAAAATATTTTTTTTTTAAAGAAAAGAAATTGTAAATTCTGAAATTATTTAAAATTATTTTTTAGTACGAGTATAGTAAATAATAATAATAGTTATTATTATGGAATAATTATTATTACTGTAAATATTATTTTCTTCTTGCAAAAAAATATAAATGTATTATATAAATCAGGAATAAGGTAAAACTTTCATGATGACCTTTTCAATTGGTAACGGTTTCCTTTTCGGAATTGAAAAGGAACTAGAAAAGGATCATGTTTTTATGGTTTTGTTTTGTTAACAAAAAAAAGTATATTGCTTAAGAAACTAATTTTTTTTACCCCGTAAATACTTTTCTAATATTTATTTTCGAAGAAATCTTATTAAGTTTCGGAGAAAAAAGGCAGTGGGCGTGGCCTTGACTCGGAGTGGGGGCAACGAGAGTAAGTGAGAGCGGACAGAACTTCTTTGTCTCTCTCATTGCCCCCACTCTGCCTCAAGGTCACTCCTTTGTATTTCCTTTCGTTCCGAACGTAAAAATATAGAATTCCAAACTTTCCTCTAATTTTTAAAATTGCAAAAACAATACTAATGATAAAGATTGTAAAATAATTACAATTAGCTATATACTTTTTTTTAATTCATAAAACTCGTGTTTTATTTTCTTCAGTTTCAAATGCATAACAGACCTTGCATCAAAGACACAAATCAAGGGTCGAAATGAGAAAAAAAGGGCCATTTTGTCTCGAAAAATACCCTTTTTTTTAAGAAAACGAAAAAAAAATTGACTCTAATAAATAATAATCAACTTGGAAAATAATTGGACGAAACAAAACATATGAGAACTATGGAATGGAAATAAAGAAAAAAATTAACAATAATAGTAAATAAAATTTAAAAGAAGTAAAAAAATTGAATTTAAATGAATCATAAGGGGAAAATAAAAGAAATGAAATGAGAAAAAAAATTTTTAAATTAGAAATAAACAATAAAGAAATAAAAAATGTTAAAAATAAATTTTTTTTGTAACATTTGGGACGACCACTCTTAAATGATAACTTAAATAATATAACGGAACTCTCACGTTTTATGTATATTTTTTTTTGTAATATCAACACGTAAAAAATCTTCAGTCGTTAATAATTATTAATAAACAAAAATTCTGAATCATTGTTGCTTGTAAGTGACATTTTGTGGAAATGGGTGAGTTGGGGTGTAGGGAAAGTAATTTTTGTTCAATTGGACTATTAATCAAGGTTGTAGATACACTTTACATAAATAATTATTATATCAAATACATAATAACATTTAACAAATTTTTAATATTTATTGCAATTTTAAAACAAAAAAAAAAGGATTCAAACATTTGGTTTCGACAGAAATAAATATTCAGAGAATGGAAAAATAATATTAATTTTTGGATAAAATTAAATTATTAATTTAAAATTAATAAAAAAGTAAAATTAAAGATCAATTTACATTAATTGAACAAATAAATTGATTAATAAATTAACATTAGTAACAATTATTCAAAAATTTACCAAAATTATCATAATTCATAATTACAATTAATTGTTATTAATACAACTATTACAATTAATTGCTAACAATCTAATTATTAATAAATTAATTGTAATATTTATTTTAAAATTTCTCTAATTATAACTGTTAAATTTTAATAATCTAAGGATTAATTATTATATTAATTAATTATTATTAATATAATTATTACAATTAATTGCTAACAATCTAATTATTAATAAATTAATTGTAATAGATATATATTTTAACATTTATCTATTTAAAAAAGTTAATTATTATTAATCTAACGATTACAATTCATTATTAACAATTTAATTATTATACAGTTAATTGTAATTGTTACTAATCTAATTATTACAATTAAATGAATAACAATTAAATTGTTAAGAAAGTAATTATTACACTTAATTGTTATTAAACAAATTACAACAATTAACTTTTATAAAACTAATTATTACAATGAAATAATAACAATTAAATTGTTAATAAATTAATTGTTACAGTTAATTGTCATTAAATCATTATTACAATTAAATGAATAACAATTTAATTATTAAGAAAGTAATTATTAATAATTATTACAGTTAATGGTTATTAAACAAACTATAACAATTAACTTTCATTAAATTAATTATTGCAATGAATTAATGACAATTAAATTGTTAATAAATTAATTGTTACAATTAATTGATATTATTAAACTAATTATTACAATTATTAAAAACTGTTTAAATGAATTTGTATTAAACAAAATTTTTGTAATTAATTAAGAACAATTTAATTGTTATTAAATTAATTATTAAATTATACATATAAAATTATAAATTTAATTATAAATTCATTCAATACAATTAACTGTTATTAATCAAATTATAACAAACAATTATTATTAATTTACTTTGTAACAATTAGTTGTTATTAATCTAATTATTGCAATTAATTGTTATTAATCTGAATATTTCAATTAATTAATAATAATTTAATTGTCATGAAGTTAATTATTGCAGTTAATTGTCATGAATTTAGTTATTACAGTTAATTGTTATAAATATGATTATTATAGTTAACTGTTATTATTCCAATTGTTACAATTAATTGTCATTAATCTAATTATCACAATTAATTATAATTAATCTAATTATTGCAATTAATTGATAACAATTTAATCGTTATTTATTATAGTTAATTGTTATGTTATTATTATTATTTATTTATTACAGTTAATTGTTATGTTATTATTATTATTTATTTATTACAATTAATAACAATTTAATTGTTATTATTTATTTATTACAATTAATTAATAACAATTTAATTGTTATTATATATTTATTACAATTATTTGGTAACAATTTAATTGTTGTATTACAATTAACTGTATTATTAAATTTATGTGTAATATAATTATTGTGTCATTTTTTTTTTATTTTTTTTTCTCGGTTTAATTTTTTTTGTACATAAATTTTTTTACAAATAAAAATTAATAATTAACTGTTTTATTTTTTCTATCCAATTATTGTAATAATTAATAGATTTTTTTCCATTTTTGTGAGTGTAAATTGAAGTTTTTTTTTTAAATTGTCTAAAGGCGTATCTACTTCCTTAAATTTTTGTGGTGGGGGTATCAGAATTGGCAAGGGGTTTGGGGGGTGAGTGGCTAGTGAACAAGAAGTGTTATTGACGTGTAACAACACCTCGAGAAACAAACTTACTTTTGGGATGTTCTACCCCTACAAAAAAGAAAGTACAGATTGGTTAATACAGTGGAAATTTTCGATAAAAAAAAGAAAAAGATCGCTCGCATTTTTTCGAAGAACTGCGCACAAAGCTTTTTTTAACTTTTAGTTTTTTTTGAAATTAAAAAAGAATTTTCTCATTTTTTTACTTTGTTTTTTTTAGCCTTTTTTGAAGCATTTTTTGTTCTTGGTTTGCTTTTGAAAAACACGTACCTAGAAAATAATTGTTTTCCTTTGAAGTGAATAATTTTACATCGTTAGATTCAAAAATGGAAAAAAAAATTTGTATTTTCTCGAAACTTGTTTGTTTTGAATTGGATAATTAAGAAAAAATATTTTACGTAAAGAAAAAAAAAAATTTTTTTTTCTTTAATAATAGTTGTTGGAATTTTTTTCCAGGTACATTTGTTTTTTGAATTTTTTCTGAAAAGCATTTTTTTCCGATTTGTATTTATAGCAAAAAAAAATTTTTTTTTTTGGCATTTAATTTTTAATTTAGTGGTTTTAATGATTGTTTTATTATAAACCAGCTTTTGCGTTAATGAAAAATTTACAACGAGGTCACAGCCTGCCAATTACTTATCAATATTCATGATCGGACAATTATCAATTCATGTAATATCTGCTAAAATTGGATATTTTTAAAATTCACTCTCGTGGTGATGGTGACGAACTTTTTTTTTTAGATTATTAATTGGCAAGCTGTTAACTGCCATTAATAGGCGAAAAAGAAGTTTTTCACTTGCAAATTAAAAAAAAAAGAAAAACAATTTTTTTTAGTGTCAGCGTTTGAATTTTTTATTTTGATAGAAACCGAGCTTTGGCAACAGAGAACAAAAAGAATTTAGAGTTTGCAAAAAAAAAATTAAAACAGTGTTGAAAGAAGAGAGCATAACAAAAAAATTAAAATTAGAAACGTTTTTTTTTTTTTTTTTTGAGTAGAAAATAAGAGTAGAAAATTTGAGAAAAAAAAGAAAAAAATAATGCTTGCGGCAGTGCGTTTTGCGTGTTTGACAAATGTTTACCATTTTTTTTTTCAATTTTCTTTTCACTGAAAGATTTGAGGTGATTTTTGGTTTTTATTATTTTTTTCTAAAACGTAACTTTTGATATTTTAAATTAATTTTTATTAGACTACAATTTATTCCAATTGTACTAAAAACACTGCGTCGGCAACGAACGAGTAGTGGGGGGGAATTACCGAGAACCAATCACGAGACGTTATCCCCACTCCCGAATCTGCGGCCGCACTGTTTTCTATTCTAACAAAACAATCTTTCAATGAAAAAATTCTCTTTAAATCGAAAATTATTTTTAAAAATACTTTCTGAAAATAAAAAAGAATACATACCCGGAAAAAAAACAAAAACCAAACATTTAAATAATGTACAAAACTTTATAAAAAGAAAACATTTGACCTAAAAGTACGAAACACAATATGTTTCCCACCTGAAAGCTTTCAGTGAAAAAAAAACACTGTTCAAATAAAAAAAATAAACAAAAAAATTTGAAATGCATGTGCCTCGTGCGTTGATTAAATGTATGTAAAAGATATAGGATTTCGAAAAAATAAAATTGCTTTTTACACGACGATTTTTTTTTATTTTTGGGAAACAGAGAGGGTTGGGGTGGGGGAAGGGTTACGGTGGAAAGAAACGTGAGATTTTTTTTTTTTAATTCACCATCGACACAACTGCGACATTTTAATTAAAATAAAATAGAGAGATAAAAACAGAAAATACCAACAAACAAACAAAAAAAAAAGACAAAATCTTTTATCAAAAAGAGAAATTTGATAGTATTGTTGATAAATTGTAAAATTGATTCAAATAATGGAAAATTCGAAAATTTTGAAAGAAGATATAAACATTTTTTTTTTTTTTTTTGTAGAAGTAGAGAAATATGAAAAATAATTTTTAAAGTGAAAAGAGAAAGAGAGAGAGAGAGAAAGGGGGGGAGGATTTTTAACGAAAAAAGGAGTTTGATAAAAATAGGGATAAGAACGAGAGTCGGTGGGTCGATTAATGATAAATTATTACAGCAATTAATCGTACGGAAAATCACGTGAAAAGCTCGCCTGGCGCTAATAATGCAAAAGTGTGCTTTCGTCTGTAAATAGAAACTTGGCTTTTGTAGCTTTCCTTGTTTTTTGCGATATTTAATTTCTTTTTTTTTAATTGCATAATTTCTTTTGTATCAAACTCTTTTTTTTTCTTTTCTTTTGTTTTATAGATTTTATGTGAAAGTTTTTAGTTCTTTATTCGTTGAAAATTCAGTTTAATTAAAATTAAAACTTTTCAAAATATTTTCACTTTTAGATGTCAATCAAAACATTTTTATTTTTTAATTTTAATTACTTTTGTAAACAAATATAAAAAAAGTAGTTTAATAATTTTTTTAAATCCCATTAAGCAGTAAGTGAATAAAAAATAGTTTTTTTTTGATTATTTTATACTTAAATGTAAATAAAAAAAGTAAATTTAACTATTTTTAAGTTAAAATTAAATATTAATACTAAATTCTTTTAATTAGCTATATAATAAAAATAAAATTTTAGTTGTATTTTAAGATTAAAATTACTCATAGGGATAAGAAATGAAAAAAATGTTGCGTCGCCAGCGTTTGAAAAGTGGGGGGAACTTCCGAGAACCAGGTGACGAGACGTCATCCCCACTTCACAATCAGCGCCGCGTTCGCAATATTTTTATTTTAATTTATTTATTTATTATTTATTTATTTTATTTTTTTTAATTTTTCTTCTATTTTTTCTTTATTCTTTTTTTTTATTTTAACTTTTTGCTTTTATTTATCCTTTAATTTTTTCTCTTATTTTTGTATCAATTTTGTGTTATCATTATTAATGCCGAATGGAGATGACAAAACAAATAGTGCAAATTTAAAGAAGAATGTAAATATTGCAAAATAGTGGTGATTAAAAATAAACAATACATATCGTGAAACATTTTAACAAATTAAAAAACAACTAGACATTAATGGAAAAAAAAGTGAATCATTTTTTTTTTTTATAAACATAAAACTATTTATATGGCAACTGTACAATATCGGCAGCAGCGACAGTGACAATCACAAAAATTTGACCCAATTTTTTGATAATAATATTTTACATTCAAAAAATTTAAATTCAAAAATAATACAAGAAATAAATTTAAACCGAAGATAATATTAAATATTTCAAATATTTAAACTTTTTAATTTTAGCAAAAAATGAAACTAAATATATATAGAGAGAAATTATTCAATATTTATAAAAAATTAAAATATAGAAGTATGTGGAATATTTAAAAAAAAAAAATTTTAAATATAGCGGAAAATAAAACTAAAAAGAAGAAAATATTATTAAATATTTACAAAATTTGAAAAAAAATAAAAATCAAACTAAATAACAAGAAATTATTAATTAATTATACAAAATTAAAAATACAGAAAGAATTTAATTCTATAAACATAAATAAATATAAAACATTTCGAAATTTAAACATTTGTCAAAAATTTTAAAGTAAAAAATTGAATTTAATTAATTTAATAATTATTATTCATTATATTAATATTATAATAATTAACTAAATTTAATTAAATTATTAATTAACTGATTTTTGAACTAGTGTTAAAATTTTAATTCAAAAAATCTGAAAAATTTGTTACTATTTAAATATTTATTGCTATAAATGTAATTTTCCGCTCTATAATCTAATTTAATTAATTAATTAATTAGCATTTAATTTAAAATGCAAATAATTGAAGGTAAATAAATTATTATCAAAAATTGAATCATTACAATCTGCGACAGAAAAAGAGGTAATTTATTTACTTTTTAATTTTTTATTATTATTATTTTCATCATCATCATCATCATCATTATTAATATTATTATTATTATTTGTTTATTAATCAGCGGACGGACAAACTGACCGACAAATAATGGACAATAGACAAACAAATAAAGGCAAATAGGCAAAAAAAAAAAAAATTTACTCATATTTTTTTTTCTGTTTTGATATGTAATGGACACTTACTCAAATTTCTTCTCCGGTTGCCTTTTTTTCATATCAGAAATGATCGCGTCGCGTGCGTCGATTGGTTGATTGATTGGTTGGTGATGAATTTTTTATTATTGGTTTTTTTGGTATTTTTTTTTTTGAGTGTGTTGAGTTTTGTGATGAAGAAGAAGTAGTAGTAGTAGAAGAAGAAGTAGAAGAAGAAGAGATAAACGATAAAAAAAGAGATAAAAAACCAGTGTCAGTTATTGGCTTATTTTTATCATTAACAGATGGGGGGCAAGGGTTTGGGGTGGGGGGGTTAGGGTGGTGGTGGTGGGGGGACGATTTAACAAGATAAAATACTAGGGTTTTTTTTCCTATTGTGACGAACGAATAACGAAAAAAATTGTTGCGTTTTAAAATGAGAATTTCGAAAATATTTTGGGTTTTTCGATTTTCGATATGGCGGAGGAAGATTTTCATTTGTAATTTTAAATAAAGGAAGGGGGGGTTTTTTAGAGGGGAACGGATAGCACTGTGCGATGTGGTAAAAAAAACTAAAATACCTAAGAAAAAAAATATATCCAGTAAAAAATAATAAATAATTGAATTTCATGAATTGAACACTGACATCTAGCGGCGACCTTGGCGCTCGCAGGTGGAGAATAGCGTCTCCATTTTGAATCTAAAACTTATCGCGATATTTAAGAAGAAATTTCCTTTCTGTAAATATTCGACATAATTAAAAAATAAATTAATTACTAATAATACAATTAATTTCCAAATAGAACGTAAAGAAAAAAATTTCCTTTCTGTAAATATTCGTGACGTAATTAAAATAATAAATTAATACTAAATTGATGAACAAAATGCAATTTTAAGTCGAGTTTGACGTAACTGTAGTAAAAAGAGTGAGAGAGATAGAAACTGCAATAAATGAGAAATTTCGAAATTAATTTTCGAAAATAATTTTATGTATGTACCTATTTATTATATAATATTAAATGAAAATTTCAAAGGAAATATATAACGTGATAAGCTAAAGGGGAAATTCACTTCATTGTATGTTGAGGGATGCGGTTACCCAATATGACTACTGACGTATTAATTTACACAACTCGGCTTTCTCTATTTCCGCATATATGCACAAGATTATAATCCAAAATTGAATTTCACGAAATTTCTGTATTATATTAATTTTGAAAAAAGTTTCCTTTTTTATTATAAATTTTATTATTATTTTACTCGTATAGTATTTCATAGAATAAATTAATTTTAAATAATGCCTTTCAACACAGTTAATAAATAATTACTTTTAGAGATTTATTTATAAAAATTATTAAAATATAAATAAATAGAAAAATAAATAAACTAATATAAAATAATAATAATAATAATAATAATAAAATTACTAAAATTATAAAATCTAATTACATTTATTTATTAATTTCTTTATTTTATAAATAATAATTATTTAATATTACTTTTTAATTGTATAATTAAATTTTGAAAAAATATATATATAATTTAAGTTTTCAGATGAATCTATTCATTATCATTATAAGGAATAGATTTAAAAATTTTTCTCTGTTTTTAAAATAGTAAGAGAATTGTAATAGACGTTCGAGACAGTTTGTTTTCAGGGAAATGAGACGAAGCGCCGGAGTGGGGGCAATGAGTGCGAGAGAGAAGAACAGGAATTTCTCTCTCGCTCTCATTGCCCCCACTCCGGCGCTTGAGTTCCACGAACTTTCCCACTTCTCGCTCAAACGATTCTGATTAAAATTGCTCCCCGATTCAGTGTTCCAGAAATAAAAATTTTTCTAAAACAATGTAAATATAAAATGTGTAATATGATAATAGTCATAGCAGTAATTAATAAAAATAAAAATAGTAAATATTAATAAAAAATAATAATAATAATAGTAGTAGTAGTAGTAATAATAGTAATAATAATAAATGCTAATAAAAAAAAAAATAATAATAAATACTGATAGAAAAATAAAAGTAATAATAATAAAATAAAAATAGAAAGTTGAGTGTAAATTTAAAAAAAAATTCTGTAACACGATCCAATGGCAATTTGAATATTATCGCGTTGAGTAAAAATTCTTTCTTTTTAAATTCGTGAGTGAGTACGTTTGAAAATTATTCATATGTTTTTCTGGTGGATAAAAAAAAACTTCGTTCTAATTTTTAGTGACAGAAATAGAGAAATACGCGACCCGAGACTTGAATATAATATATATGTGTGTATGTGATGAGGTTTCGAAATGATTAAAAAAAAATTTCCTGTTTTTTATATGTGTGTGTTTTTTTTTCATTCTTGCCCGAGGACAAAAATACGTCATTGCAAAGCGCTACTGAGCGCGTAACATCAAAAGATTGACTTGTATCGATGATTATTTTGCTTTTTTTTTTTGTTTTTCTCTGTATAATTTTTTTTTTTCTGTCAATGCTTGTCCTCGCAATGTTGGGTGTTACTAAATTTATGTTCCTCACACAGCACAGCGCCATCCGGCCCGCTCTATTTTTGTGAAGAAAATACACGCTCTAATTTTAAACCGGCCGGCATTTATTTCGCGCAAATTGCATTTCGCGTATCGCGGGCCGTGTGCTCATCCAATTATGTTATTACATAATTCTATTTGACGAATGAAAAAAAAGGCGGAAAAAAAAGTAAATAGAGACAAAACAAAATTGCTAACCGGAATAAAGTTAGTTTCTTTTTTTAAGGGGGATTTGGAGAAAAAAAATTCTTCTTTTTGTTACCTTCGTCAAAATTATTATTTGATATATTTTATTCAATATTCTTTTCTTTGAGATTTATTTATAATTATTAGTTTTAGTATGTAAAAAAATTTTTTGTGAAAAAATATTTAGGAAAATGAAATGACCTAATGTTTTGATATCTTATAGGAAGAAAAAATGGTGGCAGCGGTGGGATTTTTTTAAAATTGACTTTCTCTTTACTAGAGTAATTAAAAACTATTCTACCTTTTTTTCTTTTTTATTTCTTTATTTAATATTTAAATTTAAATGTTTAAATTAGAAAAAAAATGTTAAGAATTTGAAACTAAATTTTAGAAAATAAATTTTTAAACTGTAACTAAAATATAGAAATTCGGACAAATTTTTGCAAAAATTAAAGGTCAAATTACAATTGTTTCAAAATTAAAGAAACTGAAATTAAAATAGTAGAATTGAGGTAAATTTTAAGAAATTTGAGCCTACGATATTTAAAATTAAAAATTTTAAATCAATAATTTATATTTTTAAAAATTTGAATCTAAAATATTTAAATTAGAGGCAAATTTAAAAAACTTGAAACTGAAATATTAAAAATTTTCTAAATTCAAACATAAATTGAAAACCAGACATTTAAAAGTTTGAAAAAAATATAAAAAATTTAAGGCCTTAAAAATTAAAAGTAAGAAAAAATTTTTAAAAAATCAAAGTCCCAAAAATATAAAAAGTAGAAAAAATTCAAAAAAAAAAAATTGGCAACAATTTTGACGTAGGCATATCAAAAAGAAAGAAAAAAATAACATTTCTAACGCTACCGATGATATCACGAAGGGAGTTGGTTGCAACGCACGTAGTTCAATACACTTCGGTCAAGGATTGATTTTTCCATCTCCGGTATAATATTATATTCAAAAAGAGCTTTTACTGTTCAATTTTTAACTGAAAAGAGAAAATTGAAACTCGTCAAAAGAAAACATTTTCCTCTCTTCATTCATAAATATGAAAATTTTCAATTTTATTTTCCTTTTAGAAAAAAAAAATTTTTTTTTCAATGTTTTCAGAGATGGAAAAATAATTGTTATTTAATTTCTAAATTTAGCACCCGACTATAAGGTAAACACGCTACTCTATTATTTTTCATTTTATTTTTTTTAGCAAAAAAAGTATAGAAAAAGAACAATCCTCGAAATTATTGTTGGCCTGTTGCCTTTAATTTAGTGGATGTGTCTGGAACTTACTTCCTGTAATCAAAAACAATTTTGGAAATAATTGTTAGAAACAGAGGGAAATTTCTTTTTTTGATAACTCCATAAAATTAACTGGAAAATATTTTTAAAAAAAGTTCGAATTTTTATTTTCAGATTTTTGAAATAATAATTGAAACTAAAAATTACAAAAGTATTGAAAAAATACATTTAAAAAAAATGTTTTTTTTTTAAATTTTAAACTTAATGTAAAAATTTGAAAATATTAGAATTTTAAAGTCTTAAAATTAAAAATTACCATTTAAAAATATTTCAAATCAGTTATTTGAAATTAAAAAAATATTTAAAATCGAAAATATTAAAAATTATTATATATATAAATTATTAAATATAAATTAAAAATATACAAAAATAATAAGTATATTTTTTTTAATATTTTCCATTTAACAAAATGGAGTAAAATGTAAATTAATTTTAGGAGACACTTACACTTCCTCAACCTCCTCCTCGCTGCTGTAAACAGAAAGGAACATAACAAGTGTTAGTCATTTTTTTAAACATGCCAAGGAAAAATAATTTTTTTTATTTTTAAATTTTACAATCTTTTTTTTTTTAAATACACTGACATAAAAATTATAAACATTTTCATCTTGTTGATTAAAATTTTTGTCCACCAAAATATCACAAAAACGAGGGAAACAAATTTTTCAAAACCGGTAAAAACAAAAACAATTTATACTATTTTTTTAATAAACAAATAAAAGGGACAAAAAACACTGAAATTAATTTTTTTCCAATCTTTAGGTACAAAAAAAGGGAAATTTAAAGAACAAATATTTTTTTTGTTACAAACAAATTAATTACATTTGGGACATTTAACAAAAAGAAAAAAATTAACAATCTGAAGGAATATTTATTTTTTCCAAAAAAGGATATAAAAAAAAATTTCTCAAAAAAAGGGGGAAAAAATAGGAAGATTTTTATAATTTTAGGATTTTTCAATACCTTTCACTTTATATAGAGAACATACATTTATAAATATCTTCTGTTATTTGAATTCTCGTACGAAAAGAAGAGCAGAAAATATGTTTTTTTTCCTCAAACAACCTGGAAATCTGATTCTAAATATGTATCGAAACTAAATGGACATTTAAAAAATAAAATATTTCTCATTGATGCATAAAGAAACAGAAATATCGTTATAAATTCAATTTTGATCAGATGGAAAAAAAAGATAAATAAATAGAAGAACACTTTTTTTAGTGAAAATATTATTTCAATAAAAATTCTATTAGGAAAAAATTTTCTAATGGAAAATTTCAATAAATGAGAATTTTTTTCCCAAATTTATGAGGAAAATATTTTTCTTTTTAAATGAACATATTTTTTCCATTAAAATTCTATTAGGGGAAAATTTATTTCAATCTGATGGAAAATTTCAATAAATGAAAATAGTGACTGAATATTGTAAATTTTTTGTCGAAATTTATTTTTCAATTTTATTTTTAATTTAATTTCTTTTTTTATTTTTCAATTTTCTTTTTTTGTAGTTTTTAGTTTTCAGATAAAAATAATTTATTGAATATTTAAATAAAAAAATTATTTTTTGTTCCCAAGTTAAAAAAAAAAAGAAATGGTAACAACTTTTTCTGGTATTAAAAAATAATTGGCGACGTTTTTTTTAAATAAAAAGACTACTGGCCTTGGACTGAATTTAAAAATAAAACATTTTTTTACGTACAAAAATATTTTTGAGTGATAAAATTGTGGTTTATAATCTCTCCACTTGAGAACGCCAGGATCGCCACCAGGTGGCGAGGAATTTGATTTCATCAATTCAACTGCCATCTGGCGGTGACCTTGGCGTTCACAGGTGGAGAGTCTTAGAATTAATTTCTTCACTAAATAAATTGATAATTAATTTTTAATATTACGATATTGTAGAATGACCCTTACAAACCCAAAATTACCAGAAACTTTAAAATCAAAAAAAGAAAATAAATAAAAATAACTATTAAAGAAAAAGAATAGAAAAATTTGTCAGAAACTGTACAAGTCTCGCTTTTTTAAATAAAAATTTTAATTTATAATCGAAAATTTGGCAAAATTCCATTTTTTCCCCTTGGATAAATAAATCACAATTATGGTGTATAATAGATGGAAATTCGCCAAATTTAGAAATCAAACATTTTTGCTTTAAATTCTGTTAAATTATAATTTTTCTTTATCAAAGTAAATCGTTATAAGAGTGTATAAGAGAAAAAAGAACGAAACAATAGTTTTAAAATTTATTAATAGATTTTAAAGCGTAGCTCAATTATGATGCAATTGAACATTACAATTCCTTTCTCAAAACATTTCAAAATAGATTTTTTGGCTCGACTTATCACTTTCTAACAGGGTTGAAAACCTCTTTCTAAATTCTTTGAATATTTTCATTATTTTTTTTATTTTTTATTTACAAATACTCACGAGTATTGTTCCTCGTCGTCAGACATGTTTGTAGGTAGTTAGGTTCTGAAAAAGGGGAAAATAATTATAAGTCTATTTTTTTTAACTTATTATCAAATTTTATGGTTTAGTGGATTTTTTATTTTTAGAAAATCCGAGTCGTTCTTTGCTATAGAATTAATGAATTTTCTTTACTTTTCACTCGAATTTGGAATTTTTCTCAAACATAACCTCAAAAGTAGATTGATTTCAATTGGATAAATAAGGAACTCTCCCATCCTCTCACTTAGAATAATAATTTCTCAACATTTTGTAATATAAACGCAGTCAATGAGAATAAATTTATTATAATTTATTGTTATTATTATTATAATTATTATCTTAATGTTTATTATTATTATTAATATTCTTATTATTATCTTTATTTTTATTATTATTTTCATTAGGCCTACACAGAATGAAACCTTTAAATCGCATACTCATTTCATAATAATAATAAGATTGTTTATAGGTTATGTTTGAAAAAGTGATGATAAATAACAAACTCATGTAAACGCGAATTAGACTAATTTTTAAACTCATTTAATGATTTACTAGTTTCATAATACAGAATAGAAAGTAGAACTTTATAGGTTATGTTATTGAGAAAGTGACAACGAACGACAAAAATAAAAAAGAACGTTTTCGTTCAAGAATCTACTCTCCTGTCTTAAAAACAGGTCCAAGAACATAACCTCTAAATTTTATATTTGAATTTTTACACGAGGGAGAAAAGAATAGAAATATATTCTCTCCTTTTTCTCGAAAAAAGCAAACAATATTTCTATCTTTCTTTCTCTCGTGTAAAAAATAAAAATTCTCCAGGAAAAGGCAAACGACATTTGTATCCTTTTTCCTTCAGTGTAAAAATTAAAAATTCTCCATAGAAAAAGCAAGCAAAAGGCAAACGATATTTCTATCCTTCTTCCTCTCGTGTAAAAATAAAAGTACATTCTGCGCAGGTCTATAATGGTTGAAATAAATTTGAAATTTTGAGGTTATATTCGAAAATATGTAACGTAAATTTTGATTACTTTCAGTTTATAGTAAATAAATTTTATTATTATGAAAATAGAAGAAAATTTCTTTCCGGACTGAAGAACTTTTCCAATCGGAAAAATGCATTGCGTCCCTGTTCGACGAATGAGTTGCAGAGAAAAGAAATAACCAAAAAGGTAATTTGATATTCGAGCTGAGAATCAGTTTGCTAACCCTGGGCTGTAGCTCACGATGTGGCAAGCTCTATAAGGAGCCGACCCCCTCTCACACACTATGTTGCTTCCATATCCCTAATTTTAGACGCTACCATCATCACACTTCTATCCTGTAGTGCTTATCGTGCTCACAATGTTGCTCCCTTTCAATTTCCGACCCTGAATGTGTGTATCAAAAATCTCGGCTAAAAACTAAAATTATGGTAGCAGCAGTGGCAGCAGGAGTAGCAACTCCTGCTGACGCTACCATAATTTTAGTTCAGAGTTGTAATAGAAGTAGTAGTAGTAGTAATAGCATCAGTAGAAGAAGAGGAAGAGGAAGGAATGCAAAATGAGTCTCGAGACTATAAGGGCGAATATCCCTCCGAGACCCTGAATCACGTCGAGGTTAATCGGATTTAGAATTCCCTTCCGCATTTAAAGGAAAATGATGAGCCTTATATAGAGGAACGAAAAAGAGCGTTAGCCTCGGCGTTTGCAAATTTTGCACGAACTTTAACAATTGAGAATAATTTCCCACAAACGGAAAACAGTTTAAATCTTTCCCCCATGAGGAAGAAAAAATGTTTTTCTTATTTCCCCTGACGAACCACAAACGAAAATTACATTAGCAACATTTGACATAATGAGAACTGAATTTGAGACCCAAACGAAAATTGCAGCAACATTTTGACACAGCTCCTCAAAGTTTACATTATTGAGAAATTGTAAAAATGTTGTTACAATACTTGCTACACAAGTTTCTGTTTGTGAAGATGATGAGAACAAAATTAGTCTTCCAAAATCCATTATCTACCATGACGTCAACAATTCGACAAATATTTATCATCTGCTGATGAACGAGTACTAAAAATAAAACTGAATATGGCACATCAAAAATTTTTTGATGACTTTTTTGTTGTGCCAAAAAGGTTGTGCAGTAAAAAGCAAAAAAAAAGACCAGGCTAGCAATTAGAAAACAATTTCTAAGAGTTTGAAAGGAAAACCAACAGAAAAATACCAAAGGAACCCAATTCTAAAGATTGGCACACAATTTCTATATCGTAGATTTTGAAAGACGAAAACCGAAAACAATTGAACGACCCAAAGATTAATAAAACGGCAAAAAAGTACAACATATCAAGTGGAACAATTGCTAAACGTAAAAAATTAGTGGAGCAATTCATAAAAATAAATTGGAGGAGCGATTCTTGAACAATTCCCTAATATGCTACAGATATTTCAGAATATTCCTAATTTTCGGATGTGACTATTAGGACAGTTATATCCGGAAATTAGGAAGCAATTACCAAACTGTTTGTCCATTAAAATAAATACTGTTAGGGGACCAATTATCAAAAAGCTATCCACTAAAGTAATATCAGTTAAAGCATACTGTTAGGGAAGCAATTATCAAATTGCTATTCACTAAAATAATATTCCTTTAATATTCCTCTCTAATATCTTAAGCATCATGCTGTCTGGTTATCAAACTAAAAATATCGAACAGAAATAATTCCATCCGTATAAGAGAACATCAAAAAGAAATCTGAGAAGAGAATATTTGTCAGGATTGAGAAATTTCCTAAATTTAGAAAAAGATGAACGGGAATTCTAAATACAACGATGGAATTTTGATTTAGAACCAAGTGGACCTTAGCGATTGATCTAAAAATACAAATCCAAGAATACGTCTTTTAATTTGCTGGAGGAGCATCGAAAACGAAAACTATTTAAAGTATTAGATATGAAATTGATTTGAACAGTAGGCGTAATTTTAAAATCAGAATCATTTGTCATCATCAGTCTAGAACCAAATATTGAAATATTTGGTTCTAGACTGATGATGATGACGAGAATAACTCAAAATTTCTCTTTATGAAACAAATTTTGTTACTATTTTCAAAAATTTTATTATTTACTCGATTATTCATTAAATTACTGATTAGACTACTGAATAAAATCAATTGCAGTTTCAATTAGATTGTCGATTAGATTAGTGAATAGATTTTCGATCAAAGTATTAATTAGATTATCAATTAGGTTACTGAACGGATTATCGACTACAGTATTAATTAGATTACTAGTTAGATTATCAAATAGATTATTAACTCATTTATTAGGCGTTTGATTAGATTGGTAACTAAAAATATGTATTATAAATGTTCCTTAAAGATTTAGGTTCAAAAATTAAGCACCAAAATCTTTTGTGTCAACAGGATTTGGTTACCAAGAAATACAATAATACCAAAGAATTAAGACTTTGCATCAGAGAAATTTGATACATTTGCTTTCTTTTACATCAAATTGATTTGATAGTAATAATGATTCTTGATAGTATTCATTTATTCCTGTTCATTAAACAAAGTGTTGTCTAAAAATTATTACTGACGTATTTATTTATGTTTCTTAAAAGTCAGTCAAGAACTGTATTGTTTCAAAAATTGCTGCTGCAATGTTTAGTGAATGTAGATATTTTTTGAATTTTTGATTCTTTTTTGAACAGTTCAAATAATTGTGCTGTTGCAATAAGTAGATCTGTTAGTATGACATACCTTAACTTTGACATATTCTAATGAAAAATTAGTTAGACAATGAAATTTTCGTTAACAATCATTAGATCTAATGGATATAATAATTTTCAGTTATGTCATGTTCCAAAGTTTTGCAAGATGTTATAGCTAAACTCTGCTCGAGCTGATAAAAAGATTGCTATACCCAAAAATCTAGTTGTGACATTTAAAAACTTGAATTTAACGTGCAGAACTTTTGTTTCTGAATTTTAGAATCTAGGTATTCAAAACTTTGGTTCCAGAAATACAAATTTTGATTCAGCATTCAGAAATTTTAGACCAACATTTCGCATTTGGATTCAAGGAGTCAACAAATTTGGTTCCAGTAATACAAATTTTTGTTGCAGCATTCTAAACTTTGGTTCCAGCTTTTCAAAGTTTAGTGACTAGCATTCAAAAAATTGGTTCCAGCTTTCCAAAGTTTGGTATCTAGTATTCAATAAATTGGTTTCAGCTTTCCATATTTTTGTTCTAGCATTCAAAATGCATCAAAGCTGACACTAAAACTCAAAAATTTGCTTCCAGCTTTCCAAATGTTCGTTTCTAGAATTTGAAATTTGAAAATCCGAGATCCTAAATTTTGATTCTAGCTTTCAAAATTTTGGCTCCAGGATTGTAAATTTTGATTCGAACTTTTGAAAGTTGGTCAAATCTAATAGTTTACTTCTTTTATTACATCATTTGATACAGTTACCGAAGAATTTTGTTGACACATTCACAAATTTGTTTGCCTACTCAAAAAATTTTACTACCATGGTTAAAACATTGTTTGCTACTCCCAAAACTTTGGTGTTCAAAAATTCGGTACCATACCAAAAGTTACCTAAAATCCTAACCAAAAAATTGTCCGGATTCTAAAATCTGCTTGTTCTGTCTGAAATTACAGAGACCAATTTTAAAAATTGTTTCCTCTATAAAAAAATTTGACGGTTGCATCAAGAAATTTGGGAGTAGATGCTGTGGATCCTTATCGGATGCTGCAAATATTTGAAAGTTCGCCTTCAATTATTTACTTCGGTTGGAAGAATCTGTACTTTCTGAATATTTGATACTATACGATTTCCTTCTTCGGTACCAAAAAAAAAATTGCTGATTATAGATGAATCAACGAAACATTTAAGGAAGAACTGAGACAAAAATAGCCAAAAAGTGGATCATCAGTACCAAGAGTAAAAATTAGTTACCACTCCTCAAGCTAATTTTATTTCTGCTCCAAAATGTGGTTTGTTGTTCCCTTTAGAGAATACGTTAGCCAATCAACTAGTGCTTTTCCCTTTAGAACTGCATAATTTCCATATAATTTTCTGATGCAGCAGAAAGTGAAACTAAATTTTATTACTTTTCAGACCAAATCTAACTTCTTGCTCATCAAAAAACAATTCCCTAGACGCTAAGATATCTAATTCCAAATCATCAGATAAAAAACCTAATTCGTTGTTTCATCCTGAATTTTATCATCCATTCTGGATAATAAAAAAGAATTATTCACAAGTAGTAATTCGCACTAATTCCACAAATGCCAAGATAAATAATCACTTTTTTATCGACAAATTCACGAACGAATCGGATTTTCTTTTTAGCACACACTTAATTTTAATTTTACTATCACTTACACTGTTTATTTGGGATTTCTTTTATTTTTTTTGTGTTGTATTTTCTGCAATAAGGGGTCTTTTTAGTGATTCTAAATAAAAATTATATCTCGGCTCTTAAAAAAAAAAAAAAAACTCGAGGAGAGTATATGGTCTTCTTCGTCACTTTTAAAAAACACAAGAGATTCCCTCTTGGGTGGAATGTGGAGTCCGCGCGACAGCTAGAGCGGCTCTGAGAGTACGACCTCTTCGCCCTGGGCAAAACCAAGACTTGGATATCATTCTCCACCTACTCCACACCATTCCACCTCACATCGTTCCTTTTCGATGTTGGGTCCTATTAATAGACACGGGTTTTGGACTCCCTTGATAGAACTCTATACATATATTCTTTCAAATAGTTTTAAGAGAGAGCGCAAGCGTCTTATCCGTTTAAATATGACGCTACTATTTTTGTCAGGTCGACACAACTTGTGTTCTTTTGCTTAGTGAAAATCACCTCTTCTTTCCATTTCCTCCACGTAACTGACATACACATTCTCATCAAAAAATTTGTATGTTACTGTACAATTTGTGTATTTTTATATATTTGTATATGTGTTCGATATATGTGCATATGTGTACGGTATATGTGCACATGTGAACAGCATATGTGCATATGTGTTCGATATATGTGCATATGTGTACAGTATATGTGCACATGTGAACAGTATATGTGCGCATACGTATATGTTCGACATATGTGCACATGTGAACATTTGTGCATATGTGTTCAGTATATGTGCACATGTGTTCCATATATGTGCACATACACATATGCACATATATGTGTACATGTGTACAGTATATGCGTATATATGTGTTCGATATATGTGAAAATACACATATGCACATATATGCGCGATATATGTGCACATGTGTAAAGTATATGTGCATATGTGTACAGTACATGTGTATATGTGTTCATTATGTGCATATGCTTACAATATGTATATGTGCTTACAATATATGTATTTGTACTCAATATATAAACTCATATACATGTATATATGTATTATGATCTGAAATTGTACTCCAGAAGTGAGAAACCATCAGAAATGACCCCGAGCAGCATCTACGGCCTAATTAAGATGATGCCATCTCCAGAAATTGCGTGGGCGTTTCCCTCGCACGTCGTGCAGCCTTTGGAAACTCCCCATTTTCACATTTGACATCAAATTTCTTTGAGAATTTTCTTGACTCGAACCTTGATCCACCTTCCATTTTCATCTTCTCAAGATCATTTTTACAAATTTTAAACTTTTAATTCCTCTAATTTCTGAATAACTGCAATTTTTGACCTGAATTTTGAGGTTATGTTGAACTCTGTCTATGATTTTTGACCTGAATTTTAAGGTTATGTTGAACTCCGTCTATGATTTTTGACCTGAATTTTTAGATTATGTTGAACTCCACCCTATGATTTTTGCTAAAAAAATTGAATTGGAAATTTATTTTGAATTTTTAATTTCTATTCTCATTTTGACCTAAACTTTCAGTGTTAAGGATTTTCAGGCCTAAACTTTGGAGCTAACTTAAAATTTAATTCGGAATTTTATCTGGGATTCATGACCTAAATTTTCAAGTATCAATTTGCATTTGACCTAAAATTGACCTTAACTTTTAGTTAAGGCTCCTTACAGTCCTTCGGTTTAAAATTTTCATTTAAATTTTAAGATTTAATTCGAAATTTTACATGAATTTTTAAATTTTAATTATCGCATTTTGACCTAAACTTTCAGTTAAGACTCATCATATTGTTCTTTGGGTCAAACTTTTGAACTAAACTTTGACCTGAATGTCAAGTAATTCAAACGTATTTTTTCAGATTTAATAAAAAATTTAAATTTCACTATTTCGACCCAAAGGTTTGGACCTAAATTTGCAGTTAAGAATCTTTGGGTTAAACTTTTAATCTCAATTTTAAGATTCAGGTCGCAATTGTACTTTTCATTTTTGACCTGGATTTTTAATTTCTATTCGCAATTTGACCTAAACTTTCAGTTAAGGTGCGTCCTTGTTCTTTGGACCTAAACTTTGACCTAAATGTCAAGCAATTATAACGTCTTTTTTAAAAGTTAATCAAAACTTTTTATTTTACTATTTTGACCCGAAGGTTTGGACCTAAACTTTCAGGTAAGAATGTTGGTATCAAACTTTTGACCTTAATTATTGACCTAAAGTTTGACCTGAATATCAAGTAATTCTAACGTTTTTTTAAAAGATTTAATCAAAAACTTTTATTTTACTATTTGACCCGAAGGTTTGGACCTAAACTTTTAGTTAAGAATCTTTGGGTTGAACTTTTGGAGTCAATTTTAAGATTCAGGTCGCAATTGTACTTTTCATTTTTGACCTATTTTTTTTTTAAATTTATATTCTCATTTTTACCTAAACTTTCAATTAAAGGTTTATTAGTCCTAAACTTTGGAGCCAACTTTTTAAGATTCATTTCCCAATTTTACTTTTGACCTAAATTTTTAATTTCTTTTTGTATTTTGACCGAAACTTACAGCTTGAGTATCAATTTTCAAACTGAATTTTTATTTTGTATATTTTTTTGCTAAATAGTTATTAAAAAAAATTGACATCAAATTTAAAAAAAAAATGTCATTTCTAAAACAATAGAAACAAAATTTTGTTTTTTTTATAAATAATTATAAATAAATATCTTGTGGCGAAAAATTGAAATAATATTTGGCGAAATAAATAATATTATATTTAATTTCAGAACTCAATCTAAGTTGATGCTAAGCAGGGAAAAGCAATTTTACCGTGAGCCACATATCTGATCGTTTAGAAGTGACAAACTTCAAATTAGGATTTCAAATCAAATTGTCTTCAAAGTTTAAATCATTTCCCAAGTTCAAATCATCTTCTAATCATTTAATTAACTTTCCTCGATTCAATGCGATTAAAATTTTAATTAGATAATTATAAAAATTTATGAAAATAAATATTTATAATTTAATATAACATATATAATTTATACATTTAATTAATAATAAAATTAAATAATAATTGTAATTAAATAAAATATATTAACAAAAAATTAACAATTTATTAGTATTACCAATTATTAATAAAATAATTAATTAAATAATTAATTAAATAATTAATTTAATAATTAATGAATAAAATTATTCAGAAAAAAAAATAATTATTATTAACTAAATATTAATAGTATAACTATTAGTTATAAATAATTATTTAATTTCATATTAAATAATTATTTTGATATGATTATTATTTTAATTATTGAATGTCAATGATATTGCTTTTGGAAATTGAAAACATAAATTTATAAATAAAGATATTTTTTGATCAAACTAATTTTGTAGAAATTGTAACATAAAGTTACGAGTGATTAAGTACCATTTGACATGTCAATAAGAAGTGTGATTTTAGTAAACTAGACAGTTTATTCTTTGCCAAAAATTTACGGTTAAATTTTCGGAGATAATTCCCACATACTTGACTAAAAAAAAATGAATTTTAGCAAAATAATTATTTTCAATGTGTTATATTTTTAATTATTAATTTATTATTAATTTTTTATGAAATATGTTTAGAAAGTAATAACAACAATGGTAATTAATTATAACATTGTTAACTAATAATTGGTGATAGTAATAACAATAATTGGCAATTAATAATAATTGGTAATAATTGAGGGCTCGGATCGAAGAACCGACGCTTCGCAATGTTCTGTGCGTTTACAAGCGTCAGTTCTTTGATCCGAGCCCTCAATTAGATTGATATCCAGTTATAAATTAATTGATTTAATTATTTATTATTATTAATTAATTTATTAAGTTTTTAATTATTTTTTAATTTATTGATGGATTATTCTTTAATTAACAATTTAATTAAGAATTTTAATTAATAAATTAATTGAGAATTTTAATTAATAATTAATTAACAAAATTTATAATGCCCTTTTTTTGCATTAATAACTAAAATTGAATTCTCCCCTTATTCAGTGTGAGAAAAATATGAATACGTTAACTTATTTGAATATATTATATTTATTATAACTTGAACGCAACTATTAATTTGAAAATGTTTTGTTGACATTGTTTGTAGACTATTAAATTTCTCAAGAACTTTTAGTGAAAATAGAATTTTCAAAATAGCTTATTGACTTGATGAGAATTATGCAAAATTTATTTCTAAACGTTTCTTCTCTCCCCTTCTTTTTATAATATTTTACTCTATTTAAAAAAAAAAAAAAAAAAAAAAAAAAAAAATGAAAAAATATATTTTTGGTTTCTTCTTGCATACACATAAACACACACACACAAGTTGAATTGAGAATTATCGAGTGATCCTAAAATATTACAAAAAAAAAAAAATTTCAAAATCCCACAGCGAGATGAATATCTTTGCGGATGATTTTCTTAAGTAAGAAGCTAAAGAGGAGTATAAAAGCGAGAGCGCGCGCGCAATACGCGACCGGCTGTGCCGACCATATATGGTGGGAGAGACGCGCGGCGTCGGGAGAGGGCGTCGCGACGTTCAAAATGTAAACCCGTCTATCTCTCGCGAGACTTTTGTAATCGACAAACCTGCGAGAGAAAAATTTTCAATTTTTAAGGGGGTGTATGCTGTTTAGGAGGAAAAACAAGATTTTTCTTGATTCTATTTTTTCGTTTTTAAGAAAAAACAGTTTTATCAAAATTTTTCATATTATTTATTATTATCATTTATAAGAAAAGAATAATTTTTATTGTGATAGTAATAATTTATATAATAATAATAATAATTTTTAAAAAAATTATTCAAACTAGCCGCAAGCTTACTGGAAACTTGCAGGTTGCTTGGGGTCCTAGACTGATAATGATAATTTCTTACTTACTTTTTAAAATAAAATTAGCAATTTTAAAAATAATAGAATTTAAAAATTTTTAATTAATACTAAAATTTCTTTTTAAGAAATACAATTATTTTCATAAAAGATAAAAATTATTTTGAAGAAGTTACAAGATTCTTATAATATAAAATAATGATTTTATCACTCGGTCATTCTTAAATCATTATAAAACATGAAGAAATCCATCTTTAAGAGTCTTCGACTCGGAGTAATTGATATATCTTCATTTTTTAAAACAATATTTTTAAAGTTGTTTAATTTAAAAAATGTTTGAATTTGAAATTTTTGAAAATCTTAATTCCTGTGGAAAAATATTTATAATAAAATATTTATTAAAAAAAAAAGTTATTGATGTTTCCGAAATAATTTTACAATTAAAGAAATTTGTAAATAAAAATGTAAAAGAACATTTTTTTGAGTAAAATTTTTTCCTTTATTTACAAAAAATTTAGAAATTTTCAAATTTTATTTGTCAATTAAAATTTGTAATTGACAAATAGAATTTACAAACAATTTTTTTGCTTTAGTTTTAAAAACTTTAAATTTTATTGAAGCAATTGTATAATTAAGAAATAGAAATGATACAAATTATTTCCTTACGAAAATTGAGAAAAATTTTCATAATTTAGATCAGTCAAACGAAATTTCTTATAGAGAAAAGCATATAATAAACAAACTTTATTTTTTATGATAATGATCATTATGATATTGATGATAATGATGATCACTAACATGATAATGATAATGATTATGATAGTGATTATGATACTGATTATGATGAAGATTATAATAATAATTATGATTACTGATTATGATAATGTTTGTGATAATGATTATGATGAATATTGTGATAATGATTATGATAATGATTATGCTGAAAATTGTGATAATGATTATGATAATGATTATGATGAAAATTGTGATAATGATTGTGATAATAATTATGATAATGATTGTGATAATAATTATGATAATGATTATGATTAATGATTATGATGAAAATTGTGATAATGATTGTCATAATAATTATAATAATGATTATGATGATGTTTATGATACTGATTATGATTATGATTATGATTATGATTAAGATTGTGATAATGATTATGATTAAGATTGTGATAATGATTATAATAATAATCATGGTAATGATTAAGACGAAGATTATCATAATGATTATGATAATGATTATTATAAAGATTGTGATAGTGATTATGATACTGATTATGGTAGAGATTATAATATTCATTATGACTTGGGGTCCAAGACTGATGAAGATAATGATGATCATTATGATATTGATGATAATGATGATCTTTATCATGATAATGATTATGATAATGATTGTGATAATGATTATGATAGTGATTATGATACTGATTATTATAATGTTTGTGATAATGATTATGATACAGGTTATGATAATGATTCTGAAATTTAGAAAATGGGTTTAGGCAATCAAAACTTAGGTTCCAGATTTAAAAATTTTGATTCTGCATTCCGAAATTTTAGACCAACATTCCTCAATTGGATTTAAGCATTCAAAAATTTGGTTCCAGTTCAAGTATTACAAATTTTTGTTGCAGCATTCAAAACTTTGGTTCTAGCTTTCCAATGTCTGATTCTAGGACTCAAAAATTTGCTTCCAGTTTTTTAAATGTTCATTTCTAGAATGTAGAAATTTGAATCCGGTTTTCTAAATTTTGGTTCTAGCTTACAAAACTTTGACTCTAGGAATGTAAATTTTTTTATCGAGCTTTTTAAAGTTGGTCAAATCTATAATAATTTCCTTCTTCAATTGCACAATTTGGTACTGTTACTGAAATTTTTAAATTTCTTTGCAACACGGAAAAATTTTGTCTATCAAAGTTTTAGATTTTTAGAAAACTCTATAATCTTAAGTTATTAACCAACCTTAGATACATTTTGACCTAGAAGGCTTAAATATGGTTAAAAATTTCTACTTTACATTTGCAGATCACCAAAAAATTAAATCGAATTGGATACATTTTTAGGATTAGTAAATTACTCAGATCTATGAAAAATATAATTTATTATAACTAACTGTATATTTAGCATAAAAAAATTACTCCGATACAAAAAGAACGAAAAAAAAAGATTTTTAATTTCAAAATTTATTAACTCATCGGAATAATTGGCTTTTTAAACGGACGATCTTTACCTCCAAATCGCAATTGTCCAGATTCTTTTTTACCTCCAAAGCCACCACCTGAAAAATTAGCAAAATGTGTTTCATTTTCTGAAAGGAAAAAAAAATTCTATAAAGAAATATTCTTTTTTTAAATTTTTTTAAAAAACAATTTAGCCTAATTTATCTTCTATTTATAAACTCTTTTCTTTTCCTTTTCTCTTGAATAATACTCATTTCTTTTTTTCCCCCTTAATTTTTTTTATGAATAGAACTGACCTAGCCTTCTGGGTTTCCAGCCTTGCATCGATCGACTGAACTCAAAGTCAACAAAAATTGTATGCCCCTTTAAAGAAGAACCATGTAAACGACGTACAACCCTTCTTGCGTCGTCAGCATTTTCCATTTCCACAAATCCATAACATTGCGAATCACCAGTAACGATATCTTTTATAATTTTCACCGTTTTTACATTTCCAATACGTGTGAAATGCTATTTGGAAAAAAGAATTTATATATTTTTTTTAATTTTTCATATATACTCGTTGATAAAGTTTTTTTTTTTTCTTTTTTTGAAAGAATTTTAGTTTTATTTCAATGGAAATTTTCTTACTTTCTTCAAATCTTCATTTGTTGTTTGAGGTGAAAATCTTGCGACAAAAACAGTTCTCTCAGTTTTTGATTTTAATCCATGAGGTGGCTCGTAGTGCGCTTCAATTGCACGAGTAATAGCTTTATCGTGAGGCTCTGTATCTGTGCCATCTATACTTCCAGCTTTTAATGGATCGTATTCCCTCGTTGTATAAGGGCTCCAGTCTTTTAATGCATCCTAAAAATAGAGGAAAATGTAGGAATTAATGCTTTTGATATTACGCGCAATATTCATGATAAAAGGCTTTTCCTAAATAGTTTCTTTTAAAATAAGGTTACATTTACCTTCAAATATTGCAAAGCTTAACGAGCTGCACTTACTATTTTATTTTTTGTCTTTTTCCTTTATTTTTAACTTTCATCGAGAAAATTTTAATTTTTTATTCAATTATAATTTTTATTAAATTGATTAATTAAATTTCTATTGATAAATTATTATGAACTGTATATTAATTTATATTTTTATTTATAATAATGAATTTTAGATAAATCTAAACGATTTTTTAATAATTTGTCCGACATTTTAAATACACCATTTTGAATTTTTGAAAAACTATAATCACAAATTCTTAACCAGTGACCTGAAAACATGTTTTCAGGTTTTTTTTTTTTATTTTTTTTTTTTTTTATTTTTTTATTCCCTAGGGAATTGAGTTCAGATTAATTCAAACGATTTTTTAACACTTTTTCCCAGATTAGATTAAAAATTTTAAATTTTCATAAAAATTAACCTCAAATTCAAAGGATTTTTTAAAAATTCTTCATCAACCTGATCAATTATTTTGGATCAAGGTTTTTAAATTCTTAAATAACCTCAAAATTGTAATCTTCTCTGAGAAGAGACTTTTCCCACATTTAGAGAATAATAATTAATAATAAATAACTTAGTTTATTATATTCAATATTTTTATTAAAAAATAAATTTTCTTTTCTTTTTCAGTCTTAAAAATGTGTTAGAAAAGGACAGACAATGACATCTGTCAATTTTTCACTCATTCTTATGCTTGTGTTTACGTTTGTATTCCTGGAAAAATTTTTTTCCGGTAAGTCCTTTAAATATGTGATGGAAGTTATTAAAGCACTTTATTGTTAGTTGAGTTCGATAGGAAGGGGTGTTTTGTGTAGAAAACTGAATCGTAAAAAAAAATTCTACACTGTGGCCAAAGCATTTGAGTAAGTAAATACTTAATTCTCTTCTAATTTTGCATGAAATTTTTTATTTAATAAATTTGCCAATTTTAAATAGACCCATAAAGTAATATAACCTTACTTTTTTATAAATTCGCAAATAATTTTCATAATGCAGTACATTTTATTTATTTTAATGTGTTAAAAGATCAATATCATTTAATTTTTCATTCACAATTTCTAATTCTAATAAAAATTAAAAAAGAATACATTTTTAATAATACAGAATTCCACTTACCATAATTAACACTAATATAATATTTTACACTAGTCAAAACTTGCAATTACCAGAAGAAGTGTTTTATTAAAAATAAAATTAAAGAAATAAATTTTATATCTACATTTCAATTGAAAGAAATTCCTAATTTTATATACTTGAAATTGAAAATTAAATCTATGAATGATGTGTAGTAAAATGTTTTGTAAAAACAGCTGATTTTCATCAATGAATCAAATAGTGCCAACTGGGAATATTAATTTTTTTCATATTGCCTGCACTGTAGCGGCAATTCAGTCGATAATTCAAAGTTAAAATTTTTCTATTCCAAAAGACCTTTGCTTTTAAATGTATTTATTTTTAATTTCTTTTTAAAAATTGTTTATAAAATATTTAAAAGGTTGACAAAGTGATAATTAATATTTAAATACTATTTAGATTTAAAATTAAGATTTCAAAATATTTTACGATAATATCAATAATCTGAATAGAGGTGACATCTAACGAGAAGTTTACGAACAAATTTAAGCGTAAATTTTACAAAATCCGGGAAAATTATAAAAATATATAAATTATATTAATTTTTCCCATTTAATTATAAGTGATTATAATTTGTTAATAATAAAAATTAAGTTCTATTATAACTTATGTAAGGTGTTTTTTTTAATTGAATATTTTTGATTGGTACATATTTCATTGAATCGGATATTTTCTTATGGGTGTAATTAAAACAAATTTTTAAATTTTTTAACAATATTTAATAATTTATTGATTGTATTCAACATATATAAGTAAAATTTTTTACTTTTTCCATAAATCACACTTTTTCCAAGGGTTCATGAATTCCCCTTTTTGACAATGAAATATTTTTGAGAATTCTTCACTGTTTTGCAATGTTCCTATTAATCTCCAATAATTAGATGAATGTACATCGTTTATAGTAGTAAGCATAGGATTACTACATTTTAACTGTAAAATGTTAACCATATTAAAATAGAAATATTATTCAAAATTAAGAAAATTTTAACTACTCACATTTCCAAAAGCTAGAAAAAATAATTTCTGTGCCGATAAATTTTCAAGGCCTGGTAACTTTTTATCATATTCACTATTTTTTTTGCTTATAATTCGCTGTAGTGCATTAAAAGCCAATTTAAATCCTTGTGTATCGGCAACATTTTCATTAAGTGTATAAATACCATTAACCTGTGTATTTTTTAAAAATAATAATTAATAAATTATCATAAAAATTTTAATTTTTAATTTAATTACTTACGTTCATAAATATATAATTTATTTTGAATAAATTTTTATTTACTTAATTTAAAATCACGATTTTTAATCATTTTCCATAAAATAAATAATAAGTAAATAAATAATAAGCATTTTAAATATATAATTACATTAAATCTGTTGAATTGACTTATAAAACAATTACGTTTCTTAAGCATTTTATTTTTCTGTCTTTCATACAATGACGAATCTGTAATTAATAATTAATTTCTTTAAAGCATTTAAGTTTTAATATAAACATAACATTTGTAATCAATTCTCTTCTTTTTCGAGGTATAATATTAAAAAAATGCATTTTTATCTAACTTACTGTAAAAACTGTCAGGAAAATATTTTTCTAATTTTTTAAAATCAAATGCATGGGACATCTCATGACCAAGTATAAAACCTATTCTTCCATAGTTATAAGCACTATAAAAATTAAAGATACATTAAACTTTTTATTACATTATTTTAAAATTAATCACATACATATAAATTAACTAACATTGGTGCTTTCGGTTGAAACAGAGGTGGAAACAGCATTCCTAATCCTATGTCTAAAATAATAAGAATGATATTAAATAATGTTCTAAAAAAGTATATTTATAGAAAAATCAATATTTTTATTACTATTGTATACCTTTAAAATAAGATCGAAAATATTATATATGGTAGATTTGCCAAAAAAAAAATTCTAAACTTACTTATAATGTTTTTTTGAAACTTATAACACATATTTGTGTTAATTTGTCGTTTACTTCTTCTATAAAAACAACATTACACCAATAGAGTTATAGGTGGATTCCACGTCAGTTCAACACACTTATTTTCATGACTTGTTGGGATTTGGCTGTAATTTTGTAAATTCATTACTTTTATAGTGATAAACAACTGCACCAAATATTTTTTCAAAATTTTGAAAATTACCAAAAATATGGCATTTTCAAAATTTTTGTCTTCTTTTTTTGAAAGTGCTATAACTTTGGTTCTAATTAACCGATTTTGGATTTTAAAAAAAGGATTTCTTTGGTTTTAAGTATATTTTAAGTTAAAATTAAAATAAAATAAAAAAATTAAAAAAATTTTTTTTTTTGAAATTTTGAAAAATTAAAAATCCGTTTTTGAAAAAAAATCATCTTCGATTTTTTTCAAAATTTTACTAAATGTTAGGGCAAATGTGCTTTACATGTCCTGTAAGTTTGATCTTGGGATCTCAAAGGGATTCGGAGTAAAAAAATAAAACGTAACCACAAATTACGAACATATGGGGCAAAATTCCTCACCTGCCCAGGTAAAAAAATGAATTTTCTCTAAACTTTGCTAAAATGTTACTATTATTAGTAGAAATGTAAATATTAATTTTTTTTGAATTTGATAAAATATTTTTTGAGTTATGGAGTTTCAAAATTTTGATTTTTTTGAAAATATATTTTTTTCGATTTAATATATTGATAAGTAAAATTATTAATGAAATTTAAAGTATGAATAGTGATTTTTAAAGGGGTTTTTACGGGCTATAAGCTGGTGACCTTTTTTCTATGAGCCATGTAAAAATCAGAGTGGGACCATGAGAATTTTTGAGGAAAATAATAATTTATCATTATTTTACATAGAAAATGATGATTTATAATTAATTTCTTCAAAAAGATCCATGGTCCCACTCTGAGTTTTACATGGCTCATATGAAAAAAGGTAAGCTTTCGATTGGGATAAATTAGAAAAAATTAAAAAACACCGATTTTGAGATACAGTAGAACTTGGTTAATACGATTCTGTAGGGACCGCACTAAGAATGCGTCTTATGCGGGAAAAAGTATTAGGTGGGAAATAAAATGTATGTCTTTAATTACAGGGACCACCATAAATGAGCGTCTTAAGCGGGAAATCGTATTAAACGGGATCGTATTAACCGGGTTCTACTGTATATTGAAATTAAGAATTTGACCTTGAGTTTCAAGGTCAAATTGACAGAAAACAACTTTTTTTTCATCACCAGCTTATAGCCCGTGAAAACCCCTTTAAAAACCACTATTCATACTTTAAATTTGATTAATTTTACTTATAAATATATTAAATCGAAAAAAATATATTTTCAAAAAAATCAAAATTTTGAAACTCCATAACTCAAAAAATATTTTATCAAATTCAAAAAAAATTAATATTTACACTTCTACTAATAATAGTAACATTTTAGCAAAGTTTAGAGAAAATTCATTTTTTTACCTGGGCAGGTGAGGAATTTTGCCCCATATGTTCGTAATTTGTGGTTACGTTTTATTTTTTTACTCCGAATCCCTTTGAGATCCCAAGATAAAACTTACAGGACATGTAAAGCACATTTGCCCTAACATTTAGTAAAATTTTGAAAAAATCGAAGATGATGTTTTTTCAAAAACGAATTTTTAATTTTTCAAAATTTCAAAAAAAAAAATTTTTTGAATTTTTTTATTTTATTTTAATTTTAACTTAAAATATACTTAAAACCAAAGAAATCCTTTTTTTAAAATCCAAAATCGGTTAATTAGAACCAAAGTTATAGCACTTTCAAAAAAAGAAGACAAAAATTTTGAAAATGCCATATTTTTGGTAATTTTTAAAATTTTGAAAAAATATTTGGTGGAGTTGTTTATCACTATAAAAGTAATGAATTTACAAAATTACAGCCAAATCCCAACAAGTCATGAAAATAAGTGTGTTGAACTGACGTGGAATCCACCTATAACAAAGTATTTAACCCTTTTTTCAACTCTTTATATTACCAGTAATTTATTCTTACTTTTTTAATAAAATGAAGTATTAATTAACATTATAAAATAATTAAGGTATCAGATAATGGCTAAAAAATTTGCCAACTACAAAACTTACATTTTTTTCATGTAACAATTTTTATATGTTTGAATTTTCATAATCATTTGGGCTTTTTTGAAATTAATCAAATTTTGCAAACCAACTGAACCAATTTCAAACTAGAAAGAAAGTGTTCGATTTGTTTCGAGATTATTAATATATGTATAAAATTAGTTACTTTTTGCATCATGACACTTAAATATTGTTGAACATACATTGTATGAAATTGCTCCATTCACATTTTCGTTAGGAAGAGTACTGATTACATATTTATAGTTCATATTTACAACTTTTTGTCTTGCTGTTATTTTTGCATCATTCTGCAACCAACTGTTTTCTATTTCTATTAATAGTTCATTTTTTATATTTTCAAACATATCGTAAATCTACAATGTAAATGAAAATTGAATATAAATATCGTTAAATTCATCGACTAAATTAATGTCTAATTTTACCATTTCATCAGTTTCGTATGGTATATATGAATAATTTTTTATTATTATATCTTGAAATCCTTGCTTTATTTGCATCGATCTAATGCAATGCACAGCTCTAGAAATTAAAAATGTTTTATGCCAAAAATCTTATTTATAAGAACTTAAAGTAATACAATAAATTCTGTGCAAAAAAAAAAAATAAAATATACCTTTCATTGCGAGTCATTTTATTTATTATTAGAAGAACTGTATCATATGCTTCTTTAGACATTATAAAATTAAAGTGCAAATAGTTTACTATAAAAAATATTTATATTAGTAAATAGCAAAATTGATAATATATTTTCTTTCTATAATTATTACCAATTGCACTTGCAGGTGTAATATTTAATATTTTACACAATTCAAATAGATAATTTACATCGACTTGTATTTTGTCTGATTTGGTAAATTTTACTCCACTCTCTTTAGCTAATTTTCCAAAAAGTTTAAACCAATTTATCTAAAAATTGTAGAACAGAATTTAATATATATCTGTAATTCCATTTGTTTTATGAATATTATTTTTGAACATCTTAAAAATATGTATTTTAGAAAAAAAGATTATTTACCTTCAAAGTTTTAAAAGGGCAAATTTTTCTATATAAAATTGTCAAATCTTGAATTGTTGTTGTAACTATATTTGCATTTTGAACATTAACGAGCTACAATAAGTATAATAATTTTACATTAATTTAAAAAGAAATTTTAAAAATGAAATTAATAAGAAATAATTGCCAAATTTTTGATAAATTATTTTATACCTCACTTATGGACTTAATAAGTTTTAATACTTCCATCTCAATATTTTTATCAAACTCTCTTCCAAGATATTGAAAGAAGAGTAAAAAAAGTTTATGATTTTTAACATCAGTTATTATATCGGTTACCAATTTCCTTGGTGCTAGAATCTAAATTTTAAAATGAGACTATATCCCGCGAATAAATAAATGTTTCAATTTTTAAAATTCTAAATACGTTGAAAATTACATAGATAAACTTACTATTTAAAGAAAATATTAATTTTTTTAGTTTAAAAAAACAAATATTAAATAATGTTCTTTACTTGTAGTACATTGTCTGCATTCATATTAATGTGAAATAATGATATTTCACCAATTTTCATAGCATAATATTCAGCAACATTTTGCCAAGTTGAGTGTGAATTTTCTTCCACTATTTGACGAAATAATTTTAGTCCTTCCTTTCTTGAATAATCTAAATCAGTTATTTAAATAAAACATTGTTTAAAAAACACTTTTTTAAAAATAAAAAATGTAAAAATAATTTTTGTAATTTATACTTGTATTCATGCACGTTGCAAACCATTCTTTTTCCATGGAAACTTTTTTATTTTCTTCTCTAAAGAACAGACGATTTTCTAAAATATCTAAAATTTAAAACGTAAAAAAATTTTAATTCGTAATATTTTTTAAGGTAAAATAACCTCGGAATCTGAATTACCGACAGATAGTAAAACAATGTATTTATAATTTTCATTTTATTTAGAAAATAATTAAATTTACCTTCAATTAAAATATTAATGGTCCTATCTGTTATTGTGAAAGGACTAAAGATTTTGTTATCTAGTTTGGGGTCTGCTTTAAACCATTTGCCACAAACCTTATCGTAAAAATTTTCACAACTTTTTTTCTGATGGTCCAATCCACTTTTTAGAAAAAAAACTAAAATTTAAAAATAATTTAATAAAAAGTAATTTTTTACATCTAACTTCCATCCCATTTTCTATATTATTTGTCTAATGACTACAAGAGAGGAAGATAAAATTATTTTCTATATTATAACTTACAATCTTTTCTTTTAAAGCAATATTGAATTTTAATTAATTAATATTAAATCTTAAATTTAATATTAATATTATTAAATCTTTTAAAGATAGTAATTTAAACAGTAATCAAATTATAATATATTTTTACTTACTAATAGGCCGTAGATCAAAATTCACCTCAGATTGAGTTCTAGGTAATGCATGCCTTTAATTATGATAAACGATTAATTATTTTCTTTTCAATACAAAAATATGATTAATTTTCAAATACGAAAGCACACTTACAAAAATGCCAGCAATGTAAAACACACTTTCAGCCAAATCATTTTGAAAATAAAATACTTGATTCTAGATTATCTATCAATTTTTATTTATTGTATCAAGAGTGATTTAGAGGAAATAAGAACTTTTAGTAAGAGTGAAAATTTATAACACAAAACTAAAATTTACAATAATTCTATTTTGTACATTGAAGAAAATGCGTTCTTTTTGCATTCGTGATTTGATAGTGATAGAGAAATACTAAAAAACTCGTTAACAATTTTTTAACTCGTTTTTACAGTTTTTATTTCAAAAAATTTAATATTTTCTCCGTTCGTGTTGTTGTTATAAAATAGAATTATTGAAAATTACGCATTTTGCGAGAGTTCATATATCTCTTTTTGGGATAACTTTTTTCTTTATTAAAATTTTAATTAATTCTTGTCAAAATTCCATTCCTGGCATGAAAATGAATCAATTCATGTATAGAAAATTTTATTAATATTTATAAAATTAATCGATATTTTTTTTTTTTTAAAGAAAAATTGGTGGTGTATCATTTAAAAAAAACAAAAAATTTTTTTTGAAAATCTCAAAACTAATTTCTTTGAAATTTTTTTTGGAAAAAAATTTTGAAAAATTTTTTTTAAATTGTCTTATCTATATATTACATTAATTTAATATATTACATTGAGAAAGCTAAATGATCATAAAATGAACAACTTGTTTTTTCCTTGTAGTACATTGTTTTCATTTAAAATAATATGAAATTTCACCAATTTTCATAGCATAATATTCAGCAACATTTTGCCAAATTGAGTTGTGAATTTTCTTCTACTATTTGACGAAATAATTTTAGTCCTTTCTTTCTGGAATAATTTAAATAATAAATTATATTTTTTTCTGCTGGTTAGTATGCGAAAATTAATAACGCAAAACGACTATAAATAATAACATATTTGCGAAATTAAAATATTATTACGTGTCAGGGCGAAATTTTCTCATGCGCCGTTCCTGCGAACGCTCCCCACCACGCACCCGCCGGACGATGATATAAAGCCGGTGACCAGGCTCGCTCAGTCACTCTACGGAGCGGCTTCATCGCATAATGGTCTTACCCCGAATTGTTTTGTTTATATTTGAACTATTTTCTTCTAAATTGCTTTTTGAACATAAAATTTATTTCAATATTCATATAAAACGTTCTGTTCCTACGTTCTATTGGTTGATGTAAAATAAAATTTTTAATTTCGTAAATTAAAATTTGATAATAAAATTCCAATGTTTTCTGCTTTATTTAAAAAATGTTATCTCCATTTTTCTCTTTTATGCATTTTTTTCTATGTTCGTGTAGTTGATATAAAATTAAAAATATTGTCATAACTTTTTTTAAAATAATCTATTTTTTAGTATAAACTCCACATATTTGAATTTGTAATTAAAATTTCATTTTTAATTTAATTTTTATTTAAATAATAATTATACAAAACAATTGCAAAGAGATAAATAATACAATTTTTTTTGAATAAAAATTTGTGTATAATATAAAATTGATCGAAAATGATCAATTAAACAATTAACATCTAATTTAAACAAACAAGAATTTGTAAAAAGAATTCAGTCCCAAATTAGTGCAGTGCTAATCATGTGACAATTAGATTAAAATATAAATAGTTCGTACAAAGAAATCATAAAATTTTTTTAAATATTTTTATTCCGAACTTTAGATCTGTTAAATGATTTTAAAACCCCTGACAACGTCAAAAAGTCGGGTATAAATATTTTTTGCGTATTAGCATAAAACCTAAGAACTATTGAAATGTATATTTGTAAAACACATTAAATTATTCGATTATTAACAAATAAAATCTAAGATAAATAATACTTATTATGAAAAACAAGAAATCGAGAGTAATAATGCTGAAGAAATTTTCCAAATATCTATTTTTAAGTAATTTAGTTTTCTAGATGTCTCTCGAGTCTCATATTTCATGATTATGATCAATCGATCTTCTTTCTTTTATTATTAGTGCTTAAATTAAAAAATTTCCTTATATTGAATATTGTTAATGAAATTTTCTATATAGTAATGTTCTTAAAAGTTTAAATTAAATTTAAGTCTATGTGAGCTCCCATTCGTTTAAGAGCTAAAATTGTATTGACAGCCTTCACCCATCGTTTCTTGATCACGTAACGCTTAAGACGAACTTTGGAAATTGGACTTTCCAAAGACGATTGCAGCCATCGATGTTCCGATAGTTCGTCTGCTCGTGGCCTTTTTCTAATAAAAAAAAAGTAAATATAAAAAATTAACGTTTGGGTTAAAAATTGTTTGATGTTAGACTGAAAGTGGAATAATTTAGAGATAACACAAAAATCAAAATATAATTAAAACAATTTATTTTAGTTTCAGGTATATTAAACATTAGAAATAAATTAATATCAACGTACAACAATATAATAATTTTCTTTTACAAAAAAAATGTGTAAGTCAATAATATCATTCTCCTTAATAAAAATCATCATTCTTCTTTTCTCACAGACTAGATATGAATTATTTTTATAACTGTATTTATTTATTGTTACGGAGTTTAATAATGATATAGGTCAATTCAATCTTAAATTCGTCTTGTAGTTCTTTCTTCTTTTACAAAATCGAAATTTAATGGCGATTGATTCATTTAAAGAAAAAATTAATACAATTGTATTCATCTTTGTTTCTCAATGTCAGTCGCTTTTCAAAAGTGGAATTCGGCTCAAAATGAAGAAGAAGGAAATTTAAAAGTGGGAAATATAGGAAAGAATAAGATGGAATGTTTAATACCCACAGGGCACGTAATATTTCCTGAATATTTCAAAATATTAAGGTCCTAGAAAAAATTATGTACTCCGTGGGCATTACCGAAATTCAGCAACGAAACATGAGGAAAAAATTAAACGACTCGGACTAGAAAAATTATCCACCTTGTTCATGATCGATTTTCTACTCTCTTTCAAAGATCGATTCTCACTCATTATCACCTGTTTCCAACAAATGACTTTGTCAAAAGCCAAAAATACAAAAATGAAACAATTCCTTCAACGTTGTATCGATGATGTTGAATCGAACGTTGTTGCATTTTTCTTTTGCTCCGATTGAAAATACTCGGCCAGCGAGTTTATGGAACGTCGTGCAATCGATTCATCGTCACGCCATAAATCGACACTCGACTTTCGACCAGTTCCACTAGGTCTTGCCTCATCCCATTCAGTCAATAATTGCAGTAACAAATCTTTGGTGCTCTTTGGCTCATTTAAATTCAATGTCTTGTGAATATCCTGTAAATTTGTTATTCGTGGCACATCACGACATGATTCACTGAATCTTCTCTTTGGTCTCGATTTACGCCACGGTGGAGTTAAATCAATTTCCCTCTCAATAATTCTCTTACCATCGTCTATTGATTCATCATCGTCAAATCCCTTTACACTAAACTTATCAGTTAATTTTGTCGCAAAACTATCATTAAACACAACTGTATTAAATTTATTCGTTCTTTTCAATGTAAAATTACCCGAACCACTGTCGGCAAATTTTTCAAATCGATTCCCATTGAAGGCGGTTCCGTTTAATTTCCTCTGTTGCGCTAGATTCGATAGTTTCATTGATATTTCGTTTGTTTCATTGTCAGATGGATTTTTAGATTTTGTGTCGTCTTTTGGTTTGTCTGCAAGAAGAAAATCGGTTTTGGTCTTTTTCTTCAGTTCGGAATTTAGTTGATTTGTTGGGGAATTTTCTTCATTCTTTATGTCTTTTATTGTATTCAAATTTTTTGTTAGGGGTTCTGATTTAGTTGTGGGGTTCATTTCAGCTTGTTTCTTTACTCCCTCGAAGGATTTTGGGATTATTTTTTCATTTTTCGATACTCTGGTATTTTTCTTCAGGTCTTCAAAAGTCTTCTTTGTTCCTTCACCATTTTCCTTTGCTCCTTCCCCATGTGTTTTTGATTCTTCTTCAGCTTTCTTTAGTCCTTCCCAATTTTTCTTGACCTCTTGCTGCTTTTTCTTCGCTTCTTCCCCAATTTTCTTTACTGCTTCCTCTTTTTTATTCACTTCTATGATTTTTTGGGTTCCTTCCCCCTTTTTCTTTACTCCTTCCTCTTTATTATTCACTTCCACGATTTTTTGGATTTCTTCCCCATTTTTCTTTGCTCCTTCCCCATTTTTCTTTACTCCTTCTTCATTCTTCTTTGCTCCTTCCCCATTTTTCTTTACTCCTTCTTCATTCTTATTTGCACCTTCCCCATTTTTCTTTGCTCCTTCCCCATCTTTCTTCACTCCTTCCCCATCTTTCTTCACTCCTTCCCCATTTTTCTTCAAGTCCTCCTCACTTTTGTTTTTCCCTTCTGTATTTTTTGCCACTTCTTCCCCAATTTTCTTCACTTCCTCCTCTTTTTTCTTCACTCCTCCATTTTTCTTCGCTTCCTCACTATTCTTTCCGACCTCTTCCTGTTTTCTCGTCACTCCTCCATTTGTCTGTACTTTTTCCCTAATTTTCCTCACGTCCTCGTCTTTATTTACTCCTTCCCCACTTTTGTTCACTGCCCAATAATTCTTTCCTCCTTTCCCACTGTTTATCTTCTCTTTATCTCCTTCTTTTTTCTTCTCTTCCCTACATTTCCCCACCTCTTCGTTTTTGTCCTCTTTTCTCTCCCCATTCCCGGAATTCCCTCGTTCCCCATTCCTCCTCACTCCTCCCTCTTTTTTACCGACTGTTCCACATTTCCCCACTCCTTCCCCATTAATTTTCGCCTCTTCCTTATTGTTCCCAACATTTTCCTTACTCCTTACGTCAAACCGACCTCTTATCTTCTCATCTTCTCCACTTTTTCTCTCCCTCTCATCAACGGTCTTCAATTTCTCGTTCGTCTTCAGCGTTGTGTCGGACGGTGCCATGGCGATTAAGCGAAGATGTTCGGAGAGTTTGATAATTTCCTCAGCGAGGAGAATTTGAGCGGCTGCGTCACGTGCCCTAGCACCCTCCGAGGCACGTCTCTCGAGAGAGAGACCAAAATTTGGAATTGCAAGAAGTGATCCAGAACTGTGATCACGTGTTGAATTGGTCGTCGATTCGGAAATTGAACTAGAAATACTCTCGCATGATGAGGGTGTGTGACAACATAGGGAAATCGACTCGAAATTATTATTATTATTATTACTATTTTTCTTCTCATTGAGATTGGCGGCAACTTCAATTAACGTTTGAACCTCAATGGTGTACGGACTGTTTGGATGCTCACGCCATCTTTCCACAAACATTCGTAAATTATCCTTGGTGACATCCAATTCCTCTTTACCAATTCCATTTGATTTTGGTTTTATTCTCACATCCGGTCCATTTTTCATTGACACTGATGATTTTATCGTTTTCCTTGCTAGCCATCGATGCTGACGACACTGGGACGCGCTCACCCTCTTTCTGAAAGATTCGAGATTTTCTTTTCGGATTCGTAATTTCTTCCGGGGTTTTTTTTTTTTTTTTTTTGTTATTTCATTTTTGATGATCGCTCGTCGATGGTTCGTGATACATTTTTGTGACCCGCGAGCGATTTGGTACACGATCATCGAGTGAGAAATGGATTTTTGTTGGGGAGGAGAAAAATGATTGTGAATTTTTTTTTTTTTTTTTTTTGAGGGAGGGAAAAAGCTTTGTTAGCAGATGTTGGAAACAAAGACGAACGAGCAGCAAAATGGTATTTCTTTTTGTTGATAGAGAAGGGTTTTCTTTTTCAAATACTTACGAGATATCCTTGACGAGGAGGCATCTTATAAAGTCCTTGGCGTCTTCCGAAATTCCAGAGAAGGCTTCGTCGTCGAAATCGTATTTTGCAATTGTCACGTTTGCCATTGTTTCGATGTCAGTGTCGCCCATGAATGGAGAGAGACCCGATAATCTAAAAGAATTAAAGAAGTTCATTTAATTTATCGACTGAATAAAATTTATTTTGGGGTCAATAATTGGAGGAGTGGAGAATCTCTTCCCTTAAGTTCAAGGGAAGAGAGGTATTAAGTAAAGAAGGAAATAAAGAGTATTTCAAAAAATGTGCCTAACGGAGCAGAAATCAAGAGTCAAGAGTATCAAAAAATAAAATTTGATTTGTCTTGAACAGAAAACTAAAAATACAAATCTATAAACTTTTGCAGAAAAATTCCTTCGATTTCGAAATAAATTTATTTCGACTGAATTCAAACACGAAGAATTGAAATATGAACGGCATTTAGCAGTCGTGTATCTCATGCAGCAATCTTTAATCGCTTTAAGTCGATTTGTACAATTTTCCACTTCATTTAATTCCCCTCCCGTATAGTGTGAGAAAGAAACTAGAGAGATAAAGAAAGAGTGAGAGAGAGAGGGGAAAAATCTATTTTCATTCCCTCTGGCAAATGGAACACTCCGTTTAATGTAATTTTTCTTCTTCTTTTTTTATTTTTCAACTTACAATACGTAGCAGATGACACCAATGCTCCACATGTCAGTGCCAAAGCCAATTTGATCAAAATTCACAACTTCTGGCGCAACAAATTCCGGCGTTCCAAACAAAACTTGCAATTTTTTCTTTGGATCATATTCCCTCGCTAATCCAAAGTCAATGATCTTTATTCGATTACCCTCTTTTGTTAGACAAAGAATATTTTCAGGCTGAAAAATGAAAAAAAATTAATTTTCAAAAATTTCAGAAAATAAAGATCGTAACAATTCGTCATTTTTTTTTCATTTTTACTTTCATATCAAGATGTAAAATATGCTGTCCATGAATAAATTCAATTCCCTCGCAAATTTGACGCATGAAAACTGCACAGCTTCGTTCTGTCAATAAAAAATCGTCATCGATAACTCTCTCAAATAGTTCTCCACCCTGAATGCTGGAAAAAAAACAAGTTGACAAAAATGTATAATATATAATAGTAGAAAAAAAGAAAAAAAAAAAGGTAAAGAATAATTATTTACAGTTCTAAGATGACGTATATTTGTTTTCCAGTGTCGATGGCATCGTAGAGCTGAATCAGACGTGGATGCTGTAACCTTCTCATGATTTCGACCTCACGTTCCACAGCACGCTTATCTTCCTTCCTCGTGGTATTCACCACCTTGGCGGCCAAAGCCAATTCACTTTTCTTTTCTTTGCATCGATAGACTGTGCCAAATTTTCCTCTGCAAAAGAATTTAAGGAATTTTTTTTTTGCTTTTTACCAGAAAACGAGGTATGGGACTTATCACTTAAATCGTGAGACTCTATTCAGAATCCGTAAAAGTTGGGCCTTAATCCTTAAGACTTGATCCGTAAACCGTAGGATTTAATCCGTAAACCGTAAGACTTAATCCGTAAAGAGTAAGATTTTATGCATAATCCGTAAGATCTCTTACGTAAATCGTAAGGCTTAAGGCATAATCCGCAAGATTTATTGCGCAAACCGTAAGACTTAAGGCATAATCCGTTAGATTTATTACGTAAACCGTAAAAATTAAGGTACACACCGTAAAAGTTAATACGAAAACCGTAAGATTTTAGTATAATCCGTGAGATTTGTTACGTAAACCGTAAGGCTTAAGGCACAATCCGTAAGATTTATTACGCAAACCGTAAGACTTAAGGCATAATCCGTAAACTTTATCACGTCAACCGTAAGACTTAAGGCATCAACCGTAATAATTAATCCGTAAACTGTAAGATTAAAGGCATAATCTGTAAAAAAAAACATAAAACTTAAGACGTAATTTTACGTAGAACTTGAGACATAAACCGTAAGACTTAATTTGTAATACGTTTAACGCGTAACGTAAACATTACGCGTATTAAAATACATTAACCGTAAGCCAAATGAAAAAATAAACATAAAACGTAAAACGTAACGCAATTGCAAACAAAATTTGACCAATTTAAAATAATGTCCGCCATATTGGATCCGCCATTTTGAATGTTAAAAATTCCACACCGAAATCATTTTACGAATTAGAAAATAAAATAAAGGTGTAAAATGTCATTTATGTTCTTCAAAATTTTTCTGACATTATAATGACAAAATTCACGATGTAAAATGAATCATTTTAAAATGAGAACAGAGAAAATAATATACAAACAACTTCCTACTTGGGTTGGCGCATGAATATTTAAATTTGATTGCGGTTTGATTATTGTCATTTAGCCAAAAAAAATCTATATGACACATTTCAGGAATTTAGGCGAAAAAAAATTTTTTTTTAATAAAAAAAAGCTATTTTTAAACGGATAGTTTTTTTTTAATTGACATTGTTTTATTTTGGTAATTAATTTCAAGATATTAATATTATAAAATTAGTTTTTAGTTGAAAAATTACAATTAACAAAAAGTATTTAGTTTAATATTGATAAATAATTTTAATTACATAATTCAAGATAAGCAAACTTAACCCGAAAGCTTTGCCTAGCTTTGCCTAGCGCAAGCTTCCAGCAATCTTAACGCAACATTGCAACAATTTTTCTATTTTTTTTTAAATTTTCAACTAATTTTCTTGTTCTGGGGCCGTTCAAACAATACGTAACGCTTTTTGGGGGGAGGGGGGGTCAAGCTATTTGTTACGGTCAGCAGAAAAAATGGCGCTAATTTATACAACATTGCGTTACATGGGGGGAGGGGGGGTCCAAATTTCCGAAAAATAGCGTTACGTATTTTTTGAACGGCCCCTCTTGGAAATAATGAACATTTTTTTTTCCCCAAAACATTGACAAAATCTTTAACTAAAGATGAATTAGATAGAAAAAAAATTATTGACCAGGAGTTGATTCGCGGATTGTGTTTATTTGACTCTTCCCCCCACCCCTCTCACCTTCTCGCATGTCAAGAACATAGCGACGCATCAGTGGCGTACGATTAGCTCGACGTCGTCTTTCTCGTTAACCCGACGCGTAAAACGACATTTTCCCCTTTCTTTCCCCCACTCCCTTCCCTTCCTATTAACCTCACCCCTATCAACAAAACAGAAACACATTATTTATAGATCCCCAAAGACCTTGATTAACCAAACATTTTCCTCTCTCTCTCTCTCTCTCTTTTTTTTTTCTTTCCTTCTTCTTTACATCTCTCATTTACTCAACTCATTTTTGGAATTTATTATAAATACACGCATTTTATTTTGGAATCAAAACTAAAAATTCTAGACAAATATTTTTAAACTCCATAAAAAAACTAAAAAAATAGAGAAAGAGAGAGATAGAAGAAAAAAATGAAAAAAAAATCGTTTGTAGTTTTAATTTCGGTTAAGAATCTTATTTTATTAAGCTCGTAAAAAATCGTTTTCATCGTAAAATATATTTTACTGTCAAGAATTACTCGTTTTTATAAATATTATTTCTTTTTTCTCTCCAAAAAAAAACACACATATACAACTGTTTTGAAAATTAAAAATCAATATTTAAAATATTTGTGGTTTTAGTTTAAAATATTTGAAAATTTTAAATAATAATTCATATATATTTATTTATAAAAATTAAGATCTTTTGAAATTAAAAAAATCTTTACTAAAAAATTGTATTTTCTAAAATTTTTAGTAAATTTTGTTTTGGTTTTTTTGTTTCACTTAAAAGTAAAGAATTAATTAAAATTAGTTTTATTAAATTTATTTTCGTTAATTTTCTTATTTGACAGACATAATTTATATATATACATAAAATGAAATTAAAAAAAAGGTTGTCCGAAGAATTCTTTTTCGAAAAAAAAAAATTAATTTTGAAACTTTGACATGTGGCCAAAAAGTTTCTAAACTTTTGTTACTCAATAAATTATGTTCAATTTTTTTACAGCAAATTATAAAGATAATAGAGTGTTAATTTTTAATTATTGTGTTCCTAACTTTTTTTTAATTTCTTCTATATTTATAACATTTATTTTTTCTTTTTAAATATAAAAATACATACTTCCTTGCAGAAAGTAGGAAAAGGAATTAATTAATTAATTTTTTAGAATAATGAAAGTGGTAAATAATAAAAATATAAATAAAAAAAAATGAATATTGAAATAAATTGTTAATAATTTCTTCTCCAATTATTTCACCTTAAGACGAAAAAGTTCAATTTTCTGAAGAAAAAATCCAGGGAGACATTTTTTTTATGTTATACTTGAAAAATAAAGTAAAATTTTTTTTTTGTATTTTAGAAAAAAATTGTCTTGGAACATAAGAATTGAAAAAATCTCTTGAGATTGAAAATTGAAATTTGGAGGAATTATATTATAAACCACGACCACGGACAGAAAATCTGATGGTGGGTCATACAAAGATTTGACCCACTAAGGATCTAAAAGAGACTCCATGACTCATGCGTGCATCTTGCTAAAATGCAATTCGGGTAAATGGAACATACGTTTGGAATTTCCTTCCTTAGTTTCAATTTTTTGAATATAATTTTTTAACTTAGAAAGCAAAAACAAAAAACTATTTAAAAATAAAAGCAAAATTAATTATAAGTAATCGTAATTAAAAGCTTAACTAATTAAAATATTCAACATATAATTTTTATCCAAATTCGTAAACTTTAAAAAATTTTTTGGCCGCCATTTTGAAGGCTCCATTTTGATTTTTTTAGTAGTAAAACTCTTTTGAAAGTTAACATATAATTAATAGTAATTAAAAGTAAAACTACTTGAATGTAAAATTGATTTAATGTGTGAATAAAATAGAAGCAAAACTATAGTGAAAAGTAAAATAACTAAAAGTATAAAATGAATTAAAAGCAAAACTATATTTAAAGCTAAACTAAAAAAAGAGACTGAAAATAAATTAGAATATAACGCTAATTAAAAATAAAACCAATTTGAATCTACACTGAAATCTGTCGGAATGGAACTCGATTTTTTTGAATTTTATTACTGTAAACAATCCTTAAAAAAATTTTTTTTAATTTAATTTCGTAATATTTTTAAAATATTCTTAAACTAAGTGAAAATAATAAACTAATAATAAATTAATAATAAATTAATGATAAATTAAATAAAATAAATTTTTAAAATAGAGTTGCATTCCAACAGGTTCAACTGTATGAAGAATTAAAAGCAAAACTGCGATTAAATGTAAATATCATTTAAAGTAAAACAAATTAAAAAGTAAACAAGTGAAATTAATAAAAAGCAAAACTTAAAAGTGACATAATTTTCAAATTCCTCATTAAAATTGTAATTTATGAAAATTTAAATTTTCGTCTCCGCTTTTAATCGACAATATTTCAAGATGTGGAATTTCGAAGAAAAACCATAAAATATTTTAAATTAAACATTAGAAAATTATTTTCCTAACGCCCACGTAAAAAATCATCAAATGATTAAAAATCGAAATTTTGCCATTTTAAAATTTAAATTCGCATTTTCTCTCTGTCATTTATTATAAAAGAAACACGCGCACGAGGTATCGTTTTGTTATTATTTTTTTTTCAAATATCTGTATCTATATCTATATATATAAATTATACATATCTAGACGCAGATGGTTTTGAAAGGTATGCGTGGAGAATTTTGCGCAGCTTCCTGTCGTCACTTTGCGTTTGCAACAAGCTTCAAATATTCATTTTAGTCTCGTATATTGTGTATGAACGTGCCAAATATGGAGCATCATACAATTAATTAAAATTGATTGACAAATGCAATACATTTAGCGACCTTGAATTTTTTTCCTCTCGCTTTCATTTTAACATTTCATTCAAGAATTGTAATGAATTAACAAAAAATATTTCTAACATTCTTTTTTTTTTTTTTGGTAATAAATTATTGTTTATTGTTCACCTGCCAATTTCCGATTGAATATCGTAGAAATCATTAAATTGAACTCCTTTTCTTACAGTCACTGCTCTGTATGGAAAACTTGGCTCGATCTCTGAAAATAATTTGTGTCAAAAATTTGAAAATTTATGTCTCATATAATTTTCTCTGTTGAGTGAAATTTCCCCTTTTATTTTAAAAACCATTTTTTTTTGTCTATTATTCAATTTAACGTGATTTTGTATTTAAGTATATAGTTGTAATTTTAATTAACAGGAAAATTATTGTTTATTTAATTCTGTATTTAATTACTATAATTATTAAACATAATTATGTGATATTACATGATATTATATGATAAGATATTATAAGATATTACAAAATATTATAAGAATTTTCAAAATTATAAATTTACTTAATTGTTATAATTTATTTAATTATTGCAATTAAAGGTAAAAATCAAAATTTATCTGCCACTGTAAATTCATTTGTTTGTTAATATCAAACAATCATCAAAAATCTTATCCTCGAAAAATAAATTTCATTATTAAAAAATAAAAGTAAAAAAATTCTCTTACAAAATTGAAAAAAAAAAAATTTTCTATTTTTCCAGAAAGTCGACCTAAAAACGCACTTATTTTAAAATAGATACTAAATTTCTCATAAAAATATTTCTTTCTTTTTTAAAAATTAAATCAGAATTTAGTACTTTTTCACTGTTTGACAGATCCAAAAAAAAAAGAAGCTCACGGGTCATGGGCACTTATTGCCAAAGACACGGAAGAGGCGTTTCTGTGTCGCGCCTCAATGGAAGAAAAAAAAATTCCCCCTTCCCCTCGAAAAGAAAATAAAACTTACCACCAACCGGGTCTGTTTCGTCGACACGAATCATATTTTTATAAATGAACAAAATTTTATGATGATAATCTTCTCCTCTAGCACTAAATTAAAAACTTTTTGTTTAAAAAAAAAAAAATAACTCACTAGCCGATTTTAAGAAACTGAACAATTTTTATTGACAGTTTTTAAATGAATCCGATTCAATCTGGAGACGATTATTGACTATCGTTTCGAAAAACTCCTTCGAGGCTCAAGGAGCCATCGACGACGCGTCTCTTCTTCTTCTTCTTCTTCTTCTTGGCTCTCGGGACGGATTTAGATTTTCGATGGACGCCGCGAATTCTACTCTCAGTCACGTGGGGTATACGCGCTCTAGCGCGACTTTAAGCCATCATTTTCATTTTTCCTTCCCCCTCCACAACCTTTATCAATTATAAAAAGAAATAATTTTTTGTTTACTTTTTAATTAAAAAATATTTTTTCATATTATATTTTTGTATATTGTGTTGTAAATTAAAATATCATTTTAATTACACGTCTATGTATTATTATAATTTTAATTTTAAATACAAATGCAGTAACGAATTTTTAAGTTATGAAATTCAAATAATCGCGCCGTACGGTAAAACTTTACGCTACTTTACCGACGCTCGATTAATAATTATCAAAAACGATAAATTATTTAACTTCAGAATAAATCACCAAGAAGGAAAGTCGCTTATTAGTGACCACCATTCAATGAGCTTTGCACGGAGAAAAATAGATTATACAATTAGGAATTTAGAAAATAAGATCATACTGAATATAATCTTATTAATACCCTTTATAAGCTATTTACAACCTTTTAATCTTTTAGAATTATTTCTGGTATTTACAATGGATTATACATTTTATAATCCAAAATCGAATCAAATTATAATTCGGGTACGGGTGAACCTGCTACTACTTAAAAAATAAAATAAAATTTTCTATTTTTTAGGATTGTGTAGGGCTCAGTCCCTACTAGAACTCTGGTAATTTTCAGATGAATAGAATTGTTAAATTTGGAAGAAATACATTTTTATTTTCGTTTTTACCAAATTTTGATTGTCTGATGGCGTACGGGTGGACCTGCTACTACTAAAAAATTAAAATAAAATTCTCTATTTTTTAGGATTGTGTAGGGCTCAGTCTCTTCTAGAACTCTGGTAATTTTCAAATAAATAGAATTGTTAAATTTGAAAGAAATAAATTTTTATTTTCGATTTTACCAAATTTTGATTGTCTGATGGCGTACGGGTGGACCTGCTACTACTAAAAAATTAAAATAAAATTCTCTATTTTTTAGGATTGTGTAGGGCTTAGTCCCTTCTAGAACTCTGGTAATTTTCAGATGAATAGAATTGTTAAATTTGGAAGAAATAAATTTTTGTTTTCGATTTTACCAAATTACGATTGTCTGATGGCGTATGGGTGGACCTGCTACTACTTAAAAATTGAAATAAAATTCTCTATTTTTTAGGATTGTGTAGGGCGCAGTCCCTACTATAACTCTGGTAATTTTCAGATGAATAGAATTGTTAAATTTGGAGGAAATAAATTTTTATTTTCGATTTTACCAAATTTTGATTGTCTGATGGCGTACGGGTGGACCTGCTACTACTTAAAAATTGAAATAAAATTCTCTATACTTCAGGATTGTGTAGGGCTCAGTCCCTACTAGAACTCTGGTAATTTTCAGATGAATAGAATTGTTAAATTTGGAAGAAATAAATTTTCATTTTCGTTTTTACCAAATTTTGATTGTCTGATGGCGTACGGGTGGACCTGCTACTACTTAATAATTGAAATAAAATTCTCTATACTTCAGGATTGTGTAGGGCTTAGTCCCTACTAGAACTCTGGTAATTTTCAGATGAATATAATTGTTAAATTTGGAAGAAATAAATTTTTATTTTCGATTTTACCAAATTTTGATTGTCTGATGGCGTTCGGGTGAGGGTGCTACTACTAAAAAATTAAAATAAAATTCTCTATTTTTTAGGATTGTGTAGGGCTTAGTCCCTACTATAACTCTGGTAATTTTCAGATGAATAGAATTGTTAAATTTGGAGGAAATAAATTTTTATTTTCGATTTTACCAAATTTTGATTGTCTGATGGCGTACGGGTGGACCTGCTACTACTAAAAAATTAAAATAAAATTTTCTATTTTTTAGGATTGTGTGGGGCTCAGTCCCTACTAGAACTCTGGTAATTTTTAGATGAATAGAATTGTTAATTTTGGAAGAAATAAATTTTTATTTTCGATTTTACCAAATTTTGATTGTCTGATGGCGTACGGGTGGCCCTGCTACTACTTAAAAATTGAAATAAAATTCTCTATACTTCAGGATTGTGTAGGGCTTAGTCCCTACTAGAACTCTGGTAATTTTCAGATAAATAGAATTGTTAATTTTGGAAGAAATAAATTTTTATTTTCGATTTTACCAAATTTCGATTGTCTGATGGCGTATGGGTGGACCTGCTACTACTAAAAAATTAAAATAAAATTCTCTATTTTTTAGGATTGTGTAGGGCTCAGTCCCTACTAGAACTCTGGTAATTTTCAGATGAATAGAATTGTTAAATTTGGAAGAAATAAATTTTCATTTTCGTTTTTACCAAATTTTGATTGTCTGATGGCGTACGGGTGGACCTGCTACTACTTAATAATTGAAAAAAAATTCTCTATTTTTTAGGATTGTGTAGGGCTCAGTCCCTACTAGAACTCTGGTAATTTTCAGATGAATAGAATAGTTAAATTTGGAAGAAATAAATTTTTATTTTCGATTTTACCAAATTTTGATTGTCTGATGGCGTACGGGTGGCCCTGCTACTACTTAAAAATTGAAATAAAATTCTCTATACTTCAGGATTGTGTAGGGCTTAGTCCCTACTAGAACTCTGGTAATTTTCAGATGAATATAATTGTTAAATTTGGAAGAAATAAATTTTTATTTTCGATTTTACCAAATTTTGATTGTCTGATGGCGTACGGGTGGCCCTGCTACTACTTAAAAATTGAAATAAAATTCTCTATACTTTAGGATTGTGTAGGGCTTAGTCCCTACTAGAACTCTGGTAATTTTCAGATGAATATAATTGTTAAATTTGGAAGAAATAAATTTTTATTTTCGATTTTACCAAATTTTGATTGTCTGATGGCGTTCGGGTGAGGGTGCTACTACTAAAAAATTGAAATAAAATTCTCTATTTTTTAGGATTGCGTAGGGCTCAGTCCCTACTAGAACTCTGGTAATTTTCAGATGAATAGAATTGTTAATTTTGGAAGAAATAAATTTTTATTTTCGATTTTACCAAATTTCGATTGTCTGATGGCGTATGGGTGGACCTGCTACTACTAAAAAATTAAAATAAAATTCTCTATTTTTTAGGATTGTGTAGGGCTCAGTCCCTACTAGAACTCTGGTAATTTTCAGATGAATTGAATTGTTAAATTTGGAAGAAATAAATTTTCATTTTCGTTTTTACCAAATTTTGATTGTCTGATGGCGTACGGGTGGACCTGCTACTACTTAATAATTGAAAAAAAATTCTCTATTTTTTAGGATTGTGTAGGGCTCAGTCCCTACTAGAACTCTGGTAATTTTCAGATGAATAGAATAGTTAAATTTGGAAGAAATAAATTTTTATTTTCGATTTTACCAAATTTTGATTGTCTGATGGCGTACGGGTGGCCCTGCTACTACTTAAAAATTGAAATAAAATTCTCTATACTTCAGGATTGTGTAGGGCTTAGTCCCTACTAGAAATTTGGTAATTTTCAGATGAATATAATTGTTAAATTTGGAAGAAATAAATTTTTATTTTCGTTTTTACCAAATTTTGATTGTCTGATGGCATACGGGTGGACCTGCTACTACTTAATAAATAAAAAAAAATTCTCTATTTTTTAGGATTGCGTAGGGCTCAGTCCCTACTAGAACTCTGGTAATTTTCAGATGAATAGAATTGTTAATTTTGGAAGAAATAAATTTTTATTTTCGATTTTACCAAATTTCGATTGTCTGATGGCGTATGGGTGGACCTGCTACTACTAAAAAATTAAAATAAAATTCTCTATTTTTTAGGATTGTGTAGGGCTCAGTCCCTACTAGAACTCTGGTAATTTTCAGATGAATAGAATTGTTAAATTTGGAAGAAATAAATTTTCATTTTCGTTTTTACCAAATTTTGATTGTCTGATGGCGTACGGGTGGCCCTGCTACTACTTAAAAATTGAAATAAAATTCTCTATACTTCAGGATTGTGTAGGGCTTAGTCCCTACTAGAACTCTGGTAATTTTCAGATGAATATAATTGTTAAATTTGGAAGAAATAAATTTTTATTTTCGTTTTTACCAAATTTTGATTGTCTGATGGCATACGGGTGGACCTGCTACTACTTAATAAATGAAAAAAAATTCTCTATTTTTTAGGATTGCGTAGGGCTCAGTCCCTACTAGAACTCTGGTAATTTTCAGATGAATAGAATTGTTAATGTTGGAAGAAATAAATTTTTATTTTCGATTTTACCAAATTTCGATTGTCTGATGGCGTATGGGTGGACCTGCTACTACTAAAAAATTAAAATAAAATTCTCTATTTTTTAGGATTGTGTAGGGCTCAGTCCCTACTAGAACTCTGGTAATTTTCAGATGAATAGAATTGTTAAATTTGGAAGAAATAAATTTTCATTTTCGTTTTTACCAAATTTTGATTGTCTGATGGCGTACGGGTGGACCTGCTACTACTTAATAATTGAAAAAAAATTCTCTATTTTTTAGGATTGTGTAGGGCTCAGTCCCTACTAGAACTCTGGTAATTTTCAGATTAAATTTGAAAGAAATAAATTTTCATTTTCGTTTTTACCAAATTTTGATTGTCTGATGGCATACGGGTGGACCTGCTACTACTTAATAAATGAAAAAAAATTCTCTATTTTTTAGGATTGCGTAGGGCTCAGTCCCTACTAGAACTCTGGTAATTTTCAGATGAATAGAATTGTTAATTTTGGAAGAAATAAATTTTTATTTTCGATTTTACCAAATTTCGATTGTCTGATGGCGTATGGGTGGACCTGCTACTACTAAAAAATTAAAATAAAATTCTCTATTTTTTAGGATTGTGTAGGGCTCAGTCCCTACTAGAACTCTGGTAATTTTCAGATGAATAGAATTGTTAAATTTGGAAGAAATAAATTTTCATTTTCGTTTTTACCAAATTTTGATTGTCTGATGGCGTACGGGTGGACCTGCTACTACTTAATAATTGAAAAAAAATTCTCTATTTTTTAGGATTGTGTAGGGCTCAGTCCCTACTAGAACTCTGGTA